CTGAACTGCCATAGCCCGAGCACCTCTGGGGGCCTCTCAGACCTGATCCAATCCAACAAGGACTGATTAAGGGTACGCTATGTCCAGGGAACTGTGTGAAGCATACGAAGACCAAAAGAGAAATTGTCCCCAACATTGTGGGTGCTTTTAATAAAGTCCTTTTGATCCATGTAGTACTTTTAAAAATTGTTATTGATCATCGATTCAGAGCTGAAAGGGAACCTTGGGGGCCACTGAGTCTAGCTCCCTCTGCCCATTTTGCAGATGAGGAACTTGAGGCACTAAGAGATTAAGTGATTTGCCTAGAGTTACACAACTAATAAGTGTCTGTCTGAAGCAAGATTTGAACTCAGAACTTCTTGGCTCTGAGGCCAGTGCTCTAGTCCCTGAATCATACAGTTGCTTAGGGGATAGGATATTGGACTTGGAGTCAGGCAGACACATGTTCAAATCCTGTCTCAGACATCAATTTATGTGTGTGACCTTGGGCAAGTCACTTTCAGTCTCAGTTTTCTTATCTGTAAAATGGTGATAATAATAGTGTTTACTTTACTAGGTCTTTTGAGATCATCAAATGTGATAACATATGTAAAACACTTAAAGAAATGCTGTTGTTATTATACCCCACTGTATGTGTATATATGAAAGAGAGGGAGGATCGCATGTGTAGATGGGGACCCATATGTGGTTAGGCCTGTCATGTGGCTCCAAAGGGGCAGCATAGACATCTCTAGTCTCTTCTCCCCCCATCCTTCTCCAAGGGAGACTTTCATTCCTGCCCAGAAGTTGGGGCCAGGCATTGCTCTCTGCTCTCCTCAGAGAGAGAGGGTACTGAGCCAGAAGTATATCTGTCTGTGCCCTTAAATATTATTAGTCTAGGGGATATGATAGGGTTTGAGCTAACATCTGATCACTTTGTCATTTCTAGGGGATAGAGGGATCTCAAATTCTATAAGCAAGGCTTGACCCCTTTCCCACCAAATAGCAGTTTCTCAATGAATAGACATAGCAAATAAACCCATTTATCCAAATCATAGCAAAACAGAAATCAGAGAAGGTATACATAGGAGAGTATGTACCAGACAATACAGAGTGAAGGAGCTCACTCATTGGAAATAAGATAACTCAGCTCAGTCCAGAGAGGGTCCTGGTTCTCACCCCAGGGGAAACTCCCTGATGTCTCTAGAGTAGCAAGCTGGGAACAGCGACATGATGGAGACGGCCAGCTCCCCTCATGTTTTTCAGTCCTTCAGTCACCTGAAGTGGGGTTGGCCTCTTCCGTCTTTTCCCTCGAAGCTGGAAGCCAGAAGCCCCCAGAGCAATTGGACACTTGAAGAGTCCCAAAGAAGATTTAAATTTGATGAGCCCCCCAAAAGAGACTTACCCAGGAAAGCCCCAAAAGGGACTCAAAGGGGATTGATTGGCTGAGGACTGAAGCTCTCTCAGCAACTTGGCCTTACCCCTTCTGCAGGACAGGGCATTGGTCTCCACAAATAAGAAGAGTCACATGTCAGTGGGCTTTGGGACAGGGGTCACACACACACACACACACACACACACACACACGTATATCTATGTGCACGTGTGTGTGTTATTATTCAGTTATTCAGCCATGTCTGACTCTTCATGATCTCATGGACCATAGCATACCAGGCCCTTCTATTGTCCACTATCTCCCAAAGTCTGTCCAAGCTCATGTTTGTTGCTTCCGTGACACTACCCATCAATCTCTTCCTCTGCCATCCCTTTCTCCTTTCACTTTCAATATTTCCCAACATCAGGGCTTTTTCTCATTATGTGGCCAAAGTATTTAAGCTTCAGCTTCAATAATTGCCATTGCAGTGCGTAGTCTGAATGAATTTCTCTAAGTATTGACTGATTTGATCTCCTTTTTGTCCAAGGGATTCTCAAAAGTTTTTTCCAACACCACTATTCAAATGAGATGATTCTGCATGCTCAGCTTTCCTTAACGTCCAACTCACCACCATACACTGCTATTGGAAAAACCATAGCTCTGACTATACAGACCTTGGTCGGCAAGACGGTGTCTCTGCTTTTTAGTAGCTGCCCGGATTTGCCATAGCCTTCCTTCCAAGAAGCAAGCATCTTTTAATTTCAGGGCTGCAGTGATCTTTGAGCCCAAGAATATAAAATCTGATACTGCTTCCATTTCTTTTCCTTCTATTTGCCAGGAAGTGATGGGACCAGTTGCCACGATCTTAGTTTTTGAGGTTTTTTATGTTGTTAATATATGTGCTCAGACAGGAAGTGCAGGGACTACTACTCATGGGCCAGTCCCAGTCTGATCAGCACGGGAGCTTTGATCTGCTCTGTTTCTGTCCTGGGTCAGTTCACTCCTCCTTAGACAAAACCTTCATCCTGGTGTCTTCAGTATCCCAATACTGAACGAACAGGGGGCCCCAAGATCAGCTAAGCCCAATGTAGCTCAGAATTCAGAAATTCAAGCAATCTGTTAGCTTCAACCTTCAATGTAACAGGGATTACAGATGTGTACCATCATGCCCTTCCTATCTTATTTTTACAATCACCCCTCCATATAGCCATCCCACTGACACTCCCCAAAGAGTTTTCCTTTGTAACAAAGAATGCAAAAGAAAGAGAAGGAGGGGAGGGGGGAACTCTAGTTCAAACTGACCAAAACTTCAACTGAGTCTGACAGTATGTGCAACATTCCATATCCATAACCCCCCCATCAACAAAGCAGGTAGGGAGACCCATTTTCTTTTTTCTTCTTGGGGTTACTATCTATATTCTGAGGTATCCTCTGTTCTGGTGGTAGAGGAGAAGGGGTGAGAAGGATGGGAGGAAAGGTATTAGGAACACTGTCTTCAGACCTGGCTGGGACGTTTTATGAAGAATCTGCCAAGTTAGAGAACATTCAATGGAGTGCCTATACTGGGAATGGTGAGGGGCTTTGAGACCATGCCTGGAAGGAACTGGGGATGTTTGTTTCCTCTAGAAGAGACTTAGGGAGACATGGTACCTGTTTTAAAGCATTCAAAATACTGCGATGGGTTAGTTAGGTAATGCAGTAGCGAGAGAGGTGGGGTAGGAGTCAGGAAGACTTAAGTCCAAACCCAGCCTCAGACATTTAGCTGTGTGACCCTGGGCTTCACTTCACTTCAGTCTGACTCAGCTTCCTCACCTGTAAAATGGGGATAATAATAATGCTGGGAGGATCAAACAATTGTCAAGCTCTTAGCACAGTGCCTGGCACATAGGAGGTGCTATATAAATGTTATCTATGATGATGATGACTATGCCATGTATGAGAGGAATCCTGATCTGTTCACTTTTGAGCCCAGAGAGAATGAAGGGGTCTAAGTGGCAGAGGTATATCAAGTCCTGACAAAGAGAGCTGTACCAGAGCGGGATGGGTGGTGTCAGCAGGCAGTGGGATCCACTCATCTTATCTGAGGTCTTCACATAGAGGTTGGAAGACCACTTATTGAGAATACTATAGAGGGATTTTTTGGTTTTGGGCCATAGGTTGGACAAGATGGACTTTGAAGTTACTTCCAGAACTGGGATTCTATGAATTACATGAAGGTGGGGGATCTATCTCAGTAAAGGCATCTGGGGATACCCATGAGGGGTACTAGGGTCAATGATCGCGGTATGTGGTAGTTATGAGAGTGAGTAGACACACTGGCCCTGGCAATGTTCCTCATCTATCTGGAATCCTTGTCAGTGTGGTTGTATGAACAGAGGGAGAGAGGAGTATAGAGGTCTGTGCCTGGCAGAGCTTGGGGAATGTGGGATCCCCTACCTGAGGTCATCCTCTGATCCCTGGTCCCCTTCTCCTCAGCCCCCTAATAACTTTAATCTCTTGGTATTTCCATTCTCTAAGGAGATAACTTTCTATGAGCTGGTCTAGTCTATTCCCTTCATCTTGGTCAGATTCTATCCTTTCTATGCCTAGGCTGAGGCATCTATCTCAGGCTTGGGAAACGGGCAGGGGCAGGAACCCCAAATTCACCTGCTCCCCACCACTTAAAATGATGCTGAGCATCTCCAGCTGCCCCCTTAAGCAACAATAATGCCATAAGGAAAGGACATGGAGTATGGCATAGGGGATAAAGACCACACCTGGAAGCTAGGAAGACCTGGGTTCTAGATGACCCAACCTGGCTATGTTATCCTGGACAAGTTCCTCAACCTCTCAATACCCCCAGGCGACTTTGTGGCCTAGGTCTTCCCCCCTCTGGGCCTCAACTTCCTCCTCTGTAAAATGAGTTGGTTGGGGGCAGCTAGGTAGTGCAGTGGATAGAGCACCAGCCCTGGACTTAGGAGGACCTGAGTTCAAATTCAGCCTCAGACACATAACACTTACTAGCTGTGTGACCCTGGGCAAGTCACTTAAGCCCATTGCCTAGCCAAATAAAGAAATCAATGTTTATTTAAAAAAAAACGAGTTGGTTGGATTAGTTGACTTCTAAGGTCCTTTCCAGCCATAAATCCATATCCCTGAGGAGACCAATGAGTGACTGATGCTGTAGTAAAGTCAGCAAACACTTACCAAGCTCTTACTCTGTACTATCGACCAAGGACAAAGCGGAAAATAGAAAAACACAATGAAAAGAGTGCTGGATGTTAAATCAATCAGAGTTTAATGGGTTCAGACCTCCACTCTGGCTTGTATTCTTTGTGTGGTCATGAGCAAGTCACTTTACCACTCTTCAAATAGATATGGGAAGGAAAGAAGAGGAAGGAGTCAGAGAGTATGACCAGGTTTTGAGCTGGGTGGCAGGAAGGATGGTGTTGTCATGGACGGAAATAGGGAAGTTCGGAATCGAGCAGGTTTTCTGAGGTGAAAACCTCGAGCTCTACTTTGGACACGCTGAATTTGGGATGAAGAGGGCACCGAGGAGGGACTGAAGCTCTCTAGAGAGGGTAGGGCCTCCATAAATATTGGCTGGGTCGATGTAGATTTGGGAGCACTGGGAGGAGCAGGGATGATCACTAACTGTCATGCAGGGATGATGATCAAAGTTATGGGACCTCATGAGACCAAAGAGGATGAGTGGGTGGTACGAGAAGGGAAGAGAGGAAAGAACAGAACCAACCCAGGGGAACTCCTAGATGAAGGGGTCAGTAGGAAAAGGAGACATAGAAGAAGGAAGGAGGAGCCACCAGAGAAATAGGAAGAGGGCCAGAAGAGAGCAGCCTCACGGAAACCAAGGGAGGAGTGGGTGGGCGACAGTGTAGAACGCTTCGAGATCAAGGAAGATGAGACCAAGATGGAATGGTCCCTGGGGAGCCGAGAAAGGGCAGTTTCAGTAGAGTGGCGGCAATTGAAGCCAGCTTGTAGCTTGATGGGGGCATTGAGTTCCTATATCAGTGAGTCAATCAATAAACATTTATATCTAAAAGAGGGACCATAATAGCACTTACCTCGCCAGGTTATTGTGAAGATCAGATCACACACACACACACACACACACACACACACACACACACACACACACACACACACACTGCTTTGCAAACTTCAAAGTGCTATTATGAGTGTTAGCTATTAGGTAGTGCACAGGGGAGATATATTGACTTTTGGGCTGGGAGTCAGAAAGACGAGTTAGCACCAGCTTCTGTTACTTCCTTAGCTGGGTGACCCTGGGGACCCCAGAATGAGGATAAAAACAGCACCTCCCTCCAGGGTTGTTGCAAGGATTCAATCAGATAATATCTGTAAAGTGCTTGCAAACCTTAGCATGCTACATCAATGCTAGCTATTATTATTGAAGAGAGAGGGGATGGTGAAGCAATTGGGCAGAAATCATGTAGAAGGTTGGGGTGCAAGGTGGAAGAGGGAGGAGTCCCCCTTCCCTCTAAGCTCCTTCATCACCTCTATCCCTCTCCCCCCACCCCAGTCCCCTTCCTCTCTTCCACTCTCCCGCCTTTTGGATTCAGAACCCTGAGGTCTCCCACCCATTGGAGATCTCTGCCTCCCTCCCAGAAAGGGGCTGGATCTATAGAGGATCCCAGGCATTGCCACCTTTCTCATTCCAGAGGCGGGGCAGGGTTAGACTGAGTAGGATAAAAGGCAGGGTGAGGGGAGGAGGTTGCTCAGTTGTCCAGGGCTAAGGGAGAGTAGAGGAGGAGGAAACTCTGGGAGCTTTGCTGGGCCAGGGGAAGATAGGACCCTGAAAGGAGCTCAAGGCAGATCCCAGTCACGGCCCGACTCCTCCACTCAATGCTCGACTCCCCTGGAGGGGAATCGATCTCCTGTTCTCCGATGGATGCCTCAGAGGCAGGTGGGGCTGAAGGGGATCAGAGACAAGAGGGAGCTTGATGGAGGCTGGAGTGTGTGGGGGATGAGATGGGGGTAGCCCCGTGAAGAAGGGGGGAAGGCAGAGATAAAAAAGCTTTTGTGGATAAATTAAGGAGAGAATCACGGAACGTAGAGTTGGGAGGAGGGATGGTGAGGACTTTTGGAGATTTGGGAAAGGATGGGGCGGCTGTTGAGTTCAGCGAGAAAGAAAGGGGGAATTAGTGGTTGAAGAGAAGATGGGGAGAGATTAACAGGTTGAATAGAGAGGACGGGAAACAGGGCTTGAAGGGGAGAGATGGGGAGAGATTTGAAGATGCACAGGAGGATGGCAGGGAGATGGTGAGGTTGGAAGTGAGGGTTGAGGTACTGGGAATGGGAGGGGATCGAAGGGGAAAGGTTAAGGGAGATTGGGTATTGAAAGATGGGGTGAGAGTTTGGGTGGTTGGAGAGGAAGGATGGGGAGAAAGCTGGAGGGGAAATTGGGAGAACTTTAGGGGAGGCTTTTGACATTAAGAGGAAAGTTGGGGGAAGAGAAAAGAGAGAAAAGAAGGGACATGGAGGACAGGGAGGGGCGCTGGCTGGAAGCAGGTTTACAGGTGATTGTCTACAGCAGTCAAGGCCTCACCCATAGGCCATTCCCTTTGCAGGTCGAGCCCCGGTGCCAAGCACCAGACGTCGGAAACGCACCACATTCAGCAAGGGCCAGCTGCTCGAGCTGGAGAGGGTGTTTGCAGCTCGGCCTTACCCAGACATCAGTACCCGAGAGCGGTTGGCAAGGCTCACCCGTCTTCCTGAGGCCAAGATCCAGGTGAAACTGCCTGCCCTGCCCTTTCTTCCTACCCTCCTCCGGCCTCATTCAGAGCTAGGAAGCAGGACTCCCTTTCTCTGTGTCTGGGCCACCCTACCCTCAGACTCTGCTTTGTGAGGTTTTCTTCTTTCTTTCTTTCTGGAAGTGGAGTTAGAAGCTGGAATTGATTCTCCTTCCTCATCCCCAGGTTTGGTTTCAGAACCGCCGGGCCCGAAGAATCAAGAGCAGGAAGCCAGAAGGGTTGAGTGCCTGGACCAAAGACCCCTGGGGAACTCTCCCTCCGGGCAATAACCCTCTGCATCCCCAGGACCCTGAGAGCTGGGGACACTCCTCACCACACGACAGTGACCCCAACCCAGGCTGGCTGCCCTTCTGTCCCACTCCTGGCCTGGCCCCAGGGCACAGTGGTATTAGGGTCAAGGTATTGGGCCCTGGAGGGGTAGGTCCACCTGGGGGGGCGTCCAAGCCTCCAGGGCCACTCCACCGATGGGAACGGGGTGCCACCCAGACCTCTCTGGGAAGCCTCTCTGACCTTATCTATAACGCAGCCATTGTCACCAACTTGGATGATGCCTAATCTGGAACCTGGAGATCTTTCCTCTTCTTATCCTAGGATGAACTCTTTTTTCCTTGACTCTGGAAACCCTCCCCATCAGTAGCCAATTCCCTACTCAGGCCACCTCCTTAGATAAGAGTCACTTGAGGGGGAAAAGTCTGACTTGGGTTTCCTTTCTCCTTTTCCGATGATTTCCAAGACCCAGTAAGGAGAGCTGGGCTCAGAATACATATGGGGAAGGTCCAGGGGCCTGGAATCAGCTAAAGGCACCTGTATGAGTAGGCCCATGGCTAATCCCTTAAGGATGGAACATTCTTTTGCAAACAGCCCAGGCCTATCCCTCCAAGGCCAAGCCTTCTCAGGGCACTGTCCTGGACCTGGGAGCATAGACCTCAGTAACACTTCACTTCATCACAATCACCCATCTAGCAGCCATCTAGTACAACCTACACAACAAAGGAATCCCCAGTATCACATGCAACATATCACATACTACACCTCACGCCTATTGCACCCTGCAGCTGGACAACCGTGGCTGAGAGATCCCTTTGGGAGGGATTGGGTGCGTAGGTGCTCCTTTGTAATGACACTTCCATTCCCAAGTTCCTCCACTCTCCAGCCAGGGTAACCCTCGCTGGTGACCCCCCACCCCCATCCAATTACATTTTCTCTCTCTGAAGGCAGATGTCCACTTCCCTCTCACTGTCTCCCTGACATTACTTAATTAAAATCCAAATGTAAGCAGAGAGCTGGGCAATTACAATGCTCTCCCCATCTCTCTGCCTTCCAGCTGGTGGAGATTGCAGCTGGTCCATTGGTGCTGTGGCCCAGTTCACAGAGGGTTAACCTCCCCTTCCCACATTCCCACCCCTTCCCCCCCAATGGACAAATTAATCTGGACCATGGCACCTCTGTGACCAGAGGGAGAAATATCATTTTTCCTGCAGGGGGAATATTATTAAAGTAATAAAGAGAAATCCAGGGCCCTGAGCTTATCTGGATTTGATTTAAAAGTGCTCTGACCCCGGGTTCCAAGGCCCACCTGACACCAGCCGGAGGATCCTGTACATAACGGGATGTAGGAAAGGGAGGGCAGTGTGTTTCAGCCCATCCATCAGCTGTAATACCAACTAATCTCCCAAATAAAACCAAACCCCTCTACCTTAATCTGGAGCTGTTTTGCAATTGAGTGGCTGGGGGGCAGTGTGGTGGTGGAGATGGGGCCTCCTGGGAGTTCATCTCCATTGCCAAATCCCTTAACAGGACACAGAGCCCTTAATATCAGAAGGGACTTAGGAGGATGTTTAATCAGAGAGGCCAGGGCTCGGGTTGATGGACACTGAGAAAAAGTAGGGGCTTTTTCCATGATCACCTTCCCTATTCCCTGTGAGCCCCAGGTACACCCCACAGCATGGGCACATAAAAGCTGCGTGGCTACCTTCAGCTTAAGCCAAAGGAAGTACATTCTTCTGATCTCCTTCCTACAGGGATCTTGGATCGGGATGGTGAAACATGGGCCAACCAGTGACCTAGCAAGAGTCTAGGAGAAGGAGAACTAGTCCTCATGATGTGGTCTTCCTAGGTCAGGCTGACAGACCCACCTTCTCTCCTTGATTTCCCCCTCTTGGGATGAAGCACTCTTTTCCAGTGAAAATAAGAACCTCCTCCCTCCACTCCAAGAGGTGGCAGATGGCGGGGACAAAAGCAGGGAAGAGTTGTTTAGAGACCCCTTGCTGGGAATGGGAGGCAAGAAGGATAAATTTGGAAATGGAAGTCAGGCAACAAAAGACATCATTAGATACCCAAGGGACAAGGTCCCACAGACCAGGAACAAAGGCTGGAGGGCCTCAGAACACCCCGTGGCATCCTGTAGGACCCCAGGACAGTGTGGGTGCTCAGATTAGCTAAATACCCAGACATCTGTGGATGCAATCTAGTTTTCTGGCATTTTTTGTTTAAATGTTTAAACTTTAATAGTTGTATAAATCCTATCGCACAGGACAAAACAAACTGAGAACAACATTTAAGGACAGAAATTCCTTCTTCGAGCTCAACTCTGTGGGCAGCAGAACAGTTTAAGTGCTTCTTCTTGAGGGGAGCCTTTTTGGGTGACAGGGTCTGAAAAAGAATTCTTTGAGACCTTTATGCATATCCTCTATATACAGAAACACCCTTTGTACACACATGCTGAAGTCTGTCTGTGTATGTACACATATACCTTTTCTTATCCATTAAGCTACCACATAGGCTGCGTTAGATACAGCATACATAAAACCTGAAGGTTTTTTCTTTGACATGTGTGCCTAAAAATCACAGTGCAATACAAAAATCTTGCAATCAAAACCAGTGTTTATAGGAAAATGGGGTTAGGAGGACAAAACTCAAAAACTTCATCAGTGACACATTAAAAAAAGATTGGCACCTAATAAAGATGGTAACAGTTTTACACATATTAAATGGTTGAGAAATACATGAATAGTACAATAAATAGCAGTAGGGCCTGCAGCCTCAGGCTGAGGCTCTGCCTGCTTGGTTTCTGTGGAGCCTGGGCTGGCAGACTCCAGCTGCTCCTGGGGGGAGGGTGGTGTCAGTGGATGGCTACTCCGGGGCTGCCTACAAAGGAAGGTGGGGAAGAGGTAGATGCAGACCAGCCCTGGTCAGCCCACAGCTCCCACTGCACCATAAGATGCAGGGCACTTCACCTTGAAAAAGACCTGAAGTTGGCTTGTGGAAGTGGGTGTTAGAAGAGTGGACTTTTGAGTTACGTGAAGAGGCGCGGATTTCTGTCAGATGAAATGGTGCATAAGCAAACACAAAATTTATGTCATGCTCAAATTGTTCCCAAACACATCAATCTCATTGGAATAAAATCACATTTTTCAAAACAAGCATCACAGCAGAACTGACTGTATGTTCTTTTCAGACTAGAGAAGATTCATAGAAGCCATTTTCCCTGAACAAAAGAGGAGCCAGAGGAGGGATTAATGTGGTTAAAAATAAATATACAGGTTTTACCGCCCCTTTCTCCCCATTCTTAGAATTAAAGGACATGGTGTTTTGAAGGCAGGAAGCCTCAGACACCAAAAGAGAGGGAAACATATATACAAACACGCAAAGATGGAAGAGAGAAAGAGCAAGAAGAAATCTTGAGGCCAACATAAAGGCATAAAATTGACAAAAGGCAGTTCTTTTGTGAGGGCCTGGCTAGAGGCTGGATGCAAAGGTTTTTCTGCCTCAGTATTCTCTGCTGTTCCTCTTTCAGCCCAAACAGGCATCACCTTGGAGCGGGCAGCAACCTCAGCCCTGGGATGTTCTGATGCAGGTGGATGGGTCTGTATCAAGGGCGAAGACAGTGTTTGATTTGGGGACGTGGGCAGGGATGAGGCAGCAGCCCCAGCCCTCTTCCCTGTACCTTAATACAAGGCCACGTGCAGAGGAGTGTCTGCTGACATGGAGGGCCAAGGTATGGTGGAAGAAAAGAAAAGAGAGCAAAGCTCCCTACCCCAAGACTCCTGGAAACACTGGTATTTGGGACGGGCAGAGCCCTCGTTAAAGCTCTCCAAGTTCTCCTTCCATGGCCCGGACCATGATGTAGAGCTCAGCCAGACCCACCACAGAAGCAACAATCACTGCAGCCAGCACCCTCTGGGAGAGAGAAATGGTGGAATGAAAGGCATGTTCACTGGCTTTTGGCCCCAGAAAGCCTCCTTTTCTCTTTCCTTTCGCTAGCTCTACAGAGAAAAGATCAGCCTGGTGCCTTCCCGTGTCTGAGCAGGACGCACAAGAATGGAGGAGGAAGCTGAGTTTCTCTTGGGTCGCTGCTCACCCTTGTTTCATACGTGCACACGTACGCACTGTTCACCTGAGGGCTTAGCTGTCACCCTTCTGCCACCTTCAGATGTGTTCCCCACGCCCTCAGTCTGGCGCATGGCTCCTCCTGCCCAGTGCCCCCTTACCGCTGCCATTTCTGAGAAGACGTACTGGCTTCCTAGGTAGGTGCAGGTAAAAGCTGCTGCCACAGTGACGATGAAGTTGAAGATGGAGATGACCACCGCCTTCACCGACCTCACTGCGAGCCAAAGGGAGATGGGACAGAAAGCTCAGTGGCATATCCTTGAGGACGCCTCTTCCCTGCACCGCAGGAAGTGGGCACGCGCACACATGTAAGCATGCAACCTTCGCTCCCCCCCCAACTGGCTCTCCCTCAGAAACGATCTTAGACAGCTCAGGGTGTGCTCAGGGTGCTTGGGCACGGAAGGTCTGATCCATCTTCTCCTATAGGAGAAGGGAGGGATTGTGGCAGTGACCAGCTTCCTGCCCCACACATTTGCAGTGTCTCACCTTGCCGTCCAAAGTCAGCTAGAGTCCCGTCACGCCTCGAGGCCTGGGAAGAAGAAAAGGCAGACGCTAGGCCAGGGCATCTCAGGGACTTTTCACGTGTCAGTTAAGATCAGGACAGGACATCCTTCACCCTTTTCCTCATGGCCAGCTTTTCCCATCTAACTTGACACTCAGGGGCAGGTTACAGATCTCCTATCATCAACACTGAGAGAATCAGTTTGTAGACAACAGCACAGCCTCCATCAGAGCACAGGGAAGCCCTGTGTTACACAGCAGGGAACTCTGAACCAGGTTTGCCCTCCAAAGGTTTAAGTGAACAGGATTTTTTTTTTCTGTTTGGATAAGCTGGACACTTTCTCTAAAGTGTCAGTTAACTTGGGTTATACTGACTTGGACACTGGCTAGCTAAAAGACCTGTTGGGTGAAGGAGAAAGAGTGAGATCTGGATGCTAATCCCAGCTTTGACACTAGCTATGAAGGCATACCATCTTTCTAGGCTTTAGCTTCCTCACCTACAAAATGGGAGTACTAATACTTGTAATTGCCATGTTAAAGAATCGTGAAGAAAGTACTTGGTAAACCTTCTACTACCTTCTACTAGAATGTAAGATCCTTGAAGGTGGGCATCATTTGTTTAAAAAAAAACTTTCCCTAGTGCCTAACACACAGTAAATGTCTGTTATTCAACCTTAACCTTAAATTTTTCTGAGCTTCAGTCTTCTCATCTGTAAAATGGGATACCATATTCTCCGCTTATCTTACACAGTTGGTATAAGTAACCAAAAAAAGATAATGTGTGAAAAGCTGTTAAAAAATTAATTTTAAAAAAGTATGCCATTATTTGTTCTATAAATACAGAGCCCTCTGGTGGCTAGAACAGATCTCTAGGGACCAAAAAGAAATACACCTCCCCATGCCCCATCCTTCTACAATGAAACTATGAGAGCATCAATTCACCCTCTATCGCCACAGTTCCACCCAGCCTTTGTCGGGTCTGAATCACCATCTCAACAGACGCATTTTTTAATCCACCCATGAGTTTGATGAAGGTAAGACTTAATGCTGAAGTGGTTTTGTTTCCACTTCAGAGCCACGCGGGAACTCGTCTTTAAACAAAGTTTAACCCTGTGTTTTTTGTGTTTTTCTCTCCCGTCAGATTGGGAAATCTTTGAGTAAAGGGACTTTCACTTCCAGCAAAAGACCTCAGAGGCAGAAGCCACAGTTGTTTCCTTCCTCTATAATCTTCTCCCCGGTAAAAAACAAGACTCTGCACACAGTCTGAGGTATGAACCATCAGCTCTCACCTGGCAAGAAACATTCCTGGTGATGCGACTGTACTCCTCATTGGCCAGTTGCACTTTGATCCGCTCCAGGCGGGCCACCAGCTCTGGATTCTGAGGCAGAAGGGCAAAGTGGGAAGTGGGAACTCTGACCCGAACCCCCTGCGCCCACCCAAAGTCTCCCCTAGTCTCACTAGCTCTCATCACTGTCTTCTCGATCCAACTCTTTTGCTTCCTATCTCGTGGCGACTCAGGCTCTCCCGGTGCAGCTTTTTCTGTTCATAAAAAGGGCTCAGTACTCTCTGGCTCTTAAGGCATCACACAAGAACCTAACCAGGCTAAGGTTCACCTCCCCAGCCGCCTCTGTTACCTACCCTAGGGGGTCTCACAACTTCCGGGAGATATATTTCACTGCCTTCCAGGAGCTCATGAAGGAAGAGAGGGGAGCCTAAGAAAAGAAGGTTTGTAGAGTGACTCGCAACAGAAGGAAGGCACAGCCGTCTGACCCCTCCATTCTCTCTGCCTGGTGGGGGCCACTCAGCTCCTCTCTGAACGTGATTTTTTCAATGAGAAATGCTGACCCACTCCCACGGAGCCACCCCCCAGCATGATGCTAAGCATCTTGATTAACATCTGATTAAATTAAGTGACCAACGGGTGAAGAGGGCTAGGAAAGATCGGAAGTTAAAGCACAGTCCCTCGAGTTATTTTCACGAGTGGGCACAAGTAACTCTAATAGCTAATAATCCGCGAGTCGTTTAAATGTATCGTTTTTTTTCCCCCCCTCGACGTTCGGATACGCCGAGGGAGCTCCGGACTTAGGCTGGGACAGCTGAGCAACGTCAGGGCTCCCTCGGCACCAGAATCTGGGGCGGAAAAGGGTCCACAGCAGGATACGGACCCTCGCTCAGAATCAGAACCGTGTCTTCAAATGCATGAAGTGAAACACACGTGACCCGCCCAGGGTCACTATTCGAACTCAGGCCCTGGGCATCCGGCTCGGGCTTTGGGGCGGGGGCACGCGATGAGATCCTCTCCCCTCCACGCGCGTGAGGGGGGGGGGACGGCGGGCTGGGCCCGGCTCGGGGCTCTCACCCTGCTCCCGGAGGTGCTCGTGCAGCTCTCGGAGCAGGCGGAAGGGCACCACGGGCCGGGGGGCTTCGCCCTCTCCGGCCTTCTTGCTCCTCAGAGCCGCCTCCAGCCGCGCCCGCAGCTCCCGGGGCAGGCGCGCCGCCTCCAGCTCTCCCCCGGGGCTCAGGGCCCGTCGCAGCCGCCGCCCGGCGCGCACGGAGGACGCCATCTTGGGTCGGACGGCGTCAGGTGACCGGAGGCGGCGCCGCCGAGAACTTCCGGGGGGCCCTAGAGAGGCCGCGGCGGGCGGGCGGGCGCGGCGCGCGGGGCCCTGTGGGCCCCGGGGGCGGGGCGTGGCTCGGCGGAGGCGGCGCGCAGGGCCCCGCGTAGGCGTCCGCATCTGTGACCGTGACCGAGTCCGCGCGTCCGCGGCGGCCCAGGGGCCGACATGGCGGGCTGCGTTACCCGGCGGGCCCTGGCCGTGGGCGGCCGCTGCTGCTGCTGGTGGCCCCGGCCGCTGGCGGGGGCCCGGGCGCTGCGGCCACTCGCGACCTTTCCCCCCGCGCACCCGGCCGCGGCCACGGCGCGGAGACACCTCTCGTCCCGGTGAGGCTGGGGGCGGGGACCGGGGTGGGGGTGGGGTCTCCCCCGGAAAGGGGTTTGTCGGGGTCTTGTCTTTCGGAGCCAGTCGAATGTAAGCCTCTTGAGGACAGGGCCTGTGACCCCTTGGGTGCGGGGGCGGGGAGGGAGGGGGGGCTAGCTGGCTCTCGGCATTCTGGCCCCAGCGCCGGACCGTTCAGCCGTGGGCCGGTAGAGTGTAAGCTCCTCTAGGGAGCTTGTTCTTGTCTGTCCACAGTAATAGACAAGTAGAGTGACAAGTAGAGTGTAAGCTTCTCGGGGGCAGGGACTCTTGTTTTTGGATTTGGGTGGACAGCCCCCAGACCAGTGCCTGGACCATATAATAGCAGGCAAGTAGAGGGTAAGCTTCTAGAGAGCAGGGACTTTTGTTTTTGTCTTTATCTCTCCAGTGCCTAGACCGGGACCTGGACCATATAGTAGCAGGCAAGTAGAATGTAAGCTTCTAGAGGGCAGGACTCTTGTTTTTGGATTTGGCTGGACAGCCCCTAGACCAGTGCCTGGACCATATAATAACAGGCAGGTAGAGTATAAGCTTCTCCAGGGCAGGGACTCTTGTTTTTGTCTGTATACAGTAATAAACAAGTAGAGTGTAAGCCTCTAGAGGGCAGGGACTCTTGTTTTTGTCCTTATATCCCCAGTGCCAGGACCATGCAGTAATAGGTAAGTAGAACAGAAGCACCTTGAGGGTAGAGACTGTGTGGTTTTTAGGTCTAGAATCTCAGAGACTTAGAGCTAACCTCCCAGCCCCCAGCATGGTGCTGGGTGGGAAGCTCTTTGAGAATGGAGATTTTGTTTTCACAACTTAGAATCATAGAAAGAGCTAACTTTTGGGTTTCTGAGAAGTTAATTGATTTGCCCAAAGTCACCCAGCTAGTTAGAGTGTGTGTGTCTTTGCATCCCCAGCACCTAACACAGTCGGACAACAGCCATTAATTACACACCTGCTAGGTACCAGGCCCTGTGCCCAGTGCTAGGGTTACAAAGAAAACCAAAAGACAGCTCTTGTCCTTGTGGTGCTCACGGTCTGCTGGAGGAGACGGGTGAAAAAAACAAAGAAGATGCAAGCATGATGAATTGGAGGTTATCCACAGACGGGTACAAGCACCGTGCCCTTACTGTGTGCCAGGCCCTGTCCCAGGTGCTGGGGTTACAAAGAAAGACAGGCCCTGTCCTCAAGGAGCTCCCAGTCTGATGGAGAGAACAAGAGTACACCCAGAAGGAAGGCCTTTGAGGGGATGGCACCAGCGTGGGCTTCTTCTGGAAGGTGGGATTTGCACTGAGCCTTGAAGAAAGAAAGGAAACTGGAGGCAGAGTTGAGGGGGCCAAGCATTCCGAGGACAGGAGATAGCCCCTAGAGATGAAGGATGGAGTGCCGTGTTTGAGAATCGCAAGCAGGTGTCTTAGGATTGGTAGTAAGGTGCAAGTCTGGAAAATTGGAAAGGGTGAGGTTAGGAGGAGCTTGATCTGGGGGGAAGCAGGGAGCCACAGCAGTGCATTGAGCCTGAGCAGGTCCATGGAGCCTTGGGGCCAGGGTGGAGAGAGAGGGAGTTAGAGGTAAAAATGGCCAGTGTGGCAGCTGAGGGAGAGAAGATGGTGCTGTGACCCCTGGATGGTGGGCTGTTAGGGCAGTGGGCAGAGCCTGGGGAAGGAAGGCTTCTGTTCAGTTTGAGATGCCCCCTGGACAGTTGGCACAAGATGCCCAAGAGGCAGGAGGATCTAAGCTTGCCCGAGCCTGGAGATTCTGGTTTCTCTTTTACGTCTGTTGTTCTTAGCATGTAGTTGGCAAGTGGAATGTAAGCTCCCTGGGGCTAGGACCAGGTTCATTTTTGGTCTTAGAATCCTCAGTGCTTAGCATATAGGGGTAAGGGGCCTCTGAAAAGCCAAAAATCGAGTCCTGCTAATCCAATATTTATTAAGGTTTGTGGTTGGCAGGGCCCTCGGTGCTACTCTGCCAGGGGTATTTGAACTCGGGGGTCTTAAAGGAAACCTGCAGGTGGATTGTAGGATCCAATTAGAGCTAGGAGACACCTGGAAACAGAGGCCCAGGGTGGTTGTGTGACTTGTTCAAGGTGACACAGTGAGCACCTGAAGCAGCCTGCCTTCCCCTCCCCTGGCCTCCGACTTCAGAGCTGTGCTGTGTGTCTGTGCCAGGCTGCCTTCTCCTTTGGCCATAGTTTCTAGGCGTAATTCTTAGGCCTGAACATGCTGGGTCTCCCATACATGGGCATTGACTTCCCTGAGGTCTGAAGCATGGTCAGATGGGACAGAAGGACTCTCAGGCTTCCTTGTGGCTCCTGTTGGAGACCCGAGGGGGAAAGGGGTCTGGTCTCATCTGTGGAGATGGAGCTGGTATCTTTGCAGGGGAGGGTGTGGTGGCTGGTCGGGAACAGGAGGGCTCTAGGGTCTTCCCTTCTGATGAAGAAGCCTGGGAGGTTCGGGGGGATCTGAGAGGCACCCCCAAAGCACATGGGAATTCAGGGAGTCTCCCCAGTTCAGACTAGAAGCAGAGGGTTAAATTTATTGTAGTGCCTGGAATTAGGGACTAGCCCTGGGGAGGTGTGGACCGTCCTGATGTGGAGCCTTTTATAAGCCCCTTACTTGTCTCTCAAATAAAAGCAAGGGAGGAGGGAATAAGCCTACTGTGTGCCAGTCACTGGGCTAAGCCCTTTGCAGATGGTTATGGTAACCCGGCAAAGTAGGTGCTGTTGTTATCTCCATTTTGCAGTTGAGGAAACTGAGGCAGACAGGTGAAATAACTTGCACAGGGTCCCACAGCCAGTAAGGGTCTAAGGTTGGATTTGAACTCAGATCTTTGTGACTGCAGTCCAGCACTTTTCTGCCCCCAGTGGCCACAAAACAAATCACCTGCCAGGTGGTCATTGGTACTGCTCTGTCCCTTAAGCTCAGCATCTCAGTACTTTCTCCTGATGGATGAATCACCCCAAGCCGCTCACTTCAGTGTTCTTCTCCTCAGAAACCGACCAGAGGGCAAAGTGTTGGAAACAGTCGGCGTGTTTGAGGTGCCAAAGCAGAGTGGGAAATATGAGACAGGCCAGGTGAGTTGGGGGGAGGGGCGCAGGGGTAGCTGGGGGTGCCCTTTACAATCACGATGCATTGGCTGCTGGTTTTGGTTTTTGTTTCTTTTGCTTTTTGGCGAGGCAGTCAGGATTAAGTGACGTGCTCAGGGTCACACAGCTAGTAAGTGTCAAGTGTCTGAGGCCGGATTTGAGCTCAGGTCCTCCTGACACCAAGGCCAGAGCTCCATCCACTGTGCCCCCAGCTGCCTCAGGAGTGATGAGCTCGGTGCCAGGGACCAGAATAGAGCCGCAGGCACGCTCAGCTGTGGTGGTGGGGCTGGCACTGCCCGTGTGCCCGTGCCGAGGTGTGGGGGTGAGATCAGCAGAGGGGGCGATAAGGGGGACCTTTTGTGCTGAATCGTTTGAGTTGTGTCTGACTCTGTGTGACCCTGTTTGGGATTCACTTGGCAAAGCTGCCGGAGCTCTTTGCCGTTCTCTTCTCCGGCTCATTTGGCAGGTGAGGAACTGAGGCAAACAGAGAGAAGTGACTTGCCCAGGGTCACACAGCTAGTAAGTGTCTGAGGCCGGATTTGAGCTCGGGAAGAGGAGTCTTCCCACTCCAGGCCCGGGGCTCTGTGCGCCATGGCGCTCCCAGCGGTCTGAATGTTGATGATGATGGCCAACATTTGCCTAGAGCTTGGAGTGCTGTAGACGTATGTGACCTTACTTTATCCTCACAGCAGCTTTCTGAAGTAGGTGCTGCTATCCCCATTTTACAGATGCGGAAACGGACTGAGGGATGAAGTGACTTGCCCGGGGGTCCCCACTTAACGATGTGTAGGGTGGTTTCATTTAGGGAGGCTGAGATGCAAGTGGAGGAGGGTCCCTTGAACGTGCCCAGGAGGGGAGCGATCTCAGGGCTCACAGGAACAGCCGCCTTGCCACTCAGCATTGCGGGGCGCAGTCCCCCGGCTGGGCCCTTGTCCCTTGCTCCTTGCTTGCCTCTGCTTGTGGCTGCAATAGCACTTTGGGGCGTGCTTTTGCCTGTAGGATATCCAGAGAGGCCCGCATGGGCTCACCGCGCTCTTCTTCTGTTGCAGCTCTTTCTTCACAGCGTATTTGGGTACCGAGGGGTTGTCCTGTTTCCCTGGCAGGCCAGGTTGTACGACCGTGATGTGGCTTCAGACGCCCCGGAGAAGTAAGCCTCCCTGCTGTGTTTGTGTCTTATGAGTGGTGCCAGGGGAGCGGTCTTCAGGGAGAAGAAAGCAGCTGGTCATGAGTCCCAGGAGTGAAGACGGCATTTCCCTGGGTGATTGATACCGTGCCCGAGCGCTCTGGTGGCATCATTGAGTGATGGGTGCCAGAGAGACAAAAAGGAAGGCCTGAGCTGTGCCGACAGACGCCCTCAGTTTCTAGTTGCTAAGCCCCAGGAGAACACCTGCTGGGTCACTTTGAATGCTTGCTTCTGGCTGCATGACTACAAGCCAACGCTGAAGCGCCTTCAGAGTGAGGCTTGCTAACCCTTTGGGAGGGGAGCTCGTGTGGGGACTAAATCTTCACCCTAACCCTGTAAAAGTAGGTTATGGAGTAGTCAGGGGCTGCTACACTCAGGCCTCTCTCCCATACCCAGAACAGAGAACCCAGCTGGCCATGGCTCTAAGGAGGTGAAAGGCAAGACCCACACGTACTACCAGGTGCTGATTGATGCGCGGGACTGCCCACACATAGTAAGTGTGCGAGGACATTGGGCCCTGGATTCCCTTGACCAAGGGAGAGACCAGTGCCCTTGACTGAAAGCCTAGTGGAGACAGCAGGTATGCATGGTAGGAGCGGGACGGGAAAGAGCAGAGCCTTAGTCCTTCCTAGAACCAAGATGAGGGGTGAAGTCCCCTCACTTTGTGGTCCTGCAGAGACCAGTCCCCTAACTTCTGTCTTGCCTCAGTCTCAGAGATCTCAGACAGAAGCTGTGACGTTCTTGGCCAACCATGATGACAGTCGAGCCCTTTATGCTATACCAGGTAGGTAATGGAAAGTCCGAACTACCCTCCCCTTGGCCTCTTCGGGCTGGGAAAGTATCCTTGGGGAAGGCTGGATACTGGCTGTGTCTAGGATTCTTCAAGAAATGCCTCTGTTTATCCTAATGGTGGTACTGATGCCATCTCAGTGGGAGTCACTGCCCAGGGGCGAGGAGGCTAACTGGGCCAGCCTAGTCCTTTGTGCCTCACTAGATCCGCTCCCTTCTAACTGGAGCAGTGAAGGTGTCCTATTGGGAGTCCTGGGGAGTGCTGGGCATGGACCCCTGTCTCAGGGCACATCCCCATGTGGTCCCCGTGGGTACAGGCTGGGCAGTTCTGCCCTTCGATGAGCCCCTTCTGTGGGGCTAACTGGGCTCCTCTGGCTTTCTTCCCTAGGACTGGACTACGTCAGCCATGAAGACATCCTCCCTTACACATCCACTGACCAGGTCCCCATCCAGCACGAGCTGTTTGAAAGGTTCCTCCTCTACGAGCAGTCCAAAGGTACTGGCCCCGAGAGAGATGCTGGGCTGAGTAGGACAGCCTCTTCTTTTTTCTTTTTGTTTTAAAAATAATTTATTTAGTTTTATTAATTTATTTTTATTTATCGACAATCACTTCCATAAGCTTTTGAGTTTTAAATTTTTCTCCCTGTCCTTCCCCACCTCTCTCCCCAAGATGGCACACAATCTGATACAGGCTATACATATACTTTCCTATTAAACACATTTTCACATTAGTCATATAAGGAAGAATTAGAACCAACAGAAGGAACTATCAGAAAGAGGAAATAAAACAAAACAGAAGAAAAAAAATAGCAAATAGTCTGCTTCAATCTGCATTCAAACTCCATAGTTCATTCTTTGGATGTGGATAGCATTTTCCATCATGAGGCCTTTGAGATGTCTTGGATCACAGCCTTTTCCAGAGGCTCTGGCTGGGCTTAGGGCTTGACCTCAGGCCCCTGCCCCTTCCCATGCTCCTCCTTTGTCTGAGTGTCTGATGAGGTAGCAGCCCGGGTCTCCTGAGGCGGGAGGAAGGGAGGGTCCGAGCAGGAGAAGATGGAGGAAACCTGGGCTGGGCCCTTAGAGCAGAGCCCTGGTGTCAGCTGGCCGGTTCCCTCCTCTCCCAGTTCCGCCCTTTGTGGCCCGGGAGACCCTTCGTGCTTGGCAGGAGAAGAATCACCCCTGGCTAGAGCTGTCAGACGTCCATCGGGAAACCACCGAGAACATCCGTGTCACTGTCATCCCCTTCTACATGGGCATGAGGGTATGTTGCCACCCTGGGCATCCCTCTGCTGGGCCTGGGCTCCGGGTGCTCACACTCTCCTTCGCTGCCTGAAAATGTGGTTCTCCTGGGGCTGTGTCCATATTCGGTTCATGTGAGGTTTTCTCCAGCACCTCCTGTGGGCAGCAGAACAGCCCCTCCCGACTCAGGGTTGGGCTGGTCCAGAGTCAGCCCTTGTGCACCAGGGTCCTGACCTGGCCCAGGCTCTTGCTGCATCCTCGCCTCTGCTTCAGTAGGACCGTGGGAGGGAGGGCTGGGGCTGGACCTCATTCTGGCTGGCTTACACTTTCTCTTCCCCTCCCTTATTTGCACCTAGTATGACTGCTGCACAAAGTCAGCAGATGCTCTGGACGATGATGACGTCTGTGAGGGTCTCGGGCAGAACTGTCCGTCCTGTCATAGGGAGGAGATGGGGAGGGGCCGTCAGGCTCACTGAGTCAGCACACGGTCACCACAGTTTGGCTGGCGCCTGCTGCAGGCTCTGGCCTCTGTAACCCCCTTGGAACTGCCCTGTGATTGCCCCTGAGCAGAGGTGGTCTCATGGTCTTTGTGCTTCTTTCCTTAGGAGGCCCAGAATTCCCATGTCTACTGGGTAAGTCATTTTTTCTCTTCACGGGGCGGGGGGATGGGGATGGGGATGGGGATGGTGATGGTGTGTGCTCGAGGAGAGGGCTGTGTTCTTCCTTTCTGGCCAGGGAAGGAGAGAGTTGCGTCAGGTTCTCAGGCATTATTCTTGTTTTTCTCTGTGACTCTGGGGAGGGAGGAGAGAGAGAGAGGGAAGGATGTGGGTGGGGGTTGAGAAGAGGTCACGCCTGACAGGCTAGCTGCTGTGGCGCTGCCTGGTCCTGACCCTCTCCTTCCTCGGGCAGTGGCGCTACTGCATCCGTTTGGAAAACCTGGACAGTGATGTCGTACAGCTTCGGGAACGTCACTGGAGGATATTCAGCTTGTCGGGCACGTTGGAGACGGTGCGAGGCCGAGGGGTCGTGGGCAGGGTAAGGCTGAGAGCTTCCCTTCCTGGCTGCGCTTGGACACCCTGCAGGCTCCGCCCCGGCCTGTTTCTTAATGCTCCTCTCACCCCTGCCCCCCAATTTTTCTCTTTGTTAGTTGGGCTGGGGGTAGGGGGTGGGATAAGCACTGGAGACAGAACTTCTGGCGAACACTTTGTTGACGTCCCTGAGATGAAGTGTGGGGCCGTTGGTACCAGTGATCTTGTCCATCCATTCAACAAGCGTTTACTGAAGCCATCAGCCAGGTCGGCTTAGCCGGTACCAGGGGAGGCACCTACAGGCTGGACAGTGCTGCCTGGCATGTTCGTTCCTCTCTGGGTCCAGAGGCGAGGGCGCTTGACGCTCTTCTGTGCTGGGGCCATGGTGGCTTGGGTGGCCATGGGCAGCAGGGAAGAGTCTCTGTGTGAGCATCCGCTGCTCCTCGCTTTAAACGTTAACCCTCCTTTGATTGTCTGTTGCTCTTGGGCCCCCAGGAGCCTGTCTTATCCAAGGAGCAGCCGGCTTTCCAGTACAGCAGCCACGTCTCTCTGCAGGCCTCCAGCGGGCACATGTGGTGAGCGAGCCCCTCATCCCGGCACAGCCCCCGGGAAAACACTGCTGTCCCTGCTGGGCTCTGCCCTGGGCCCTCCTGGTCTGCTTGAGTCTTGGGCACCCGGGCTGGGGGAGGAGCTGATTGCACACCTGGGCCTGCCTCCTGGCGCTCTCTCATTGGCTCCCCTTGAAGGCCAGGGAAACATCTGATGGACCTTGTGTTCTCACTGCAATCTAGCAGACACTGAGGCGGGCAGGGCCCTTTGGCAGGCTGGTGAAGCCCTTAATGTTTTTAAATGCGTAAAATATGTGGGACCACCAAGGGAGATAATGACATTGAAACATAGTTGTCACAATGTTAAAAAAAAGTCATGGACCCTGGGTTATGAACCTGTGATCTGGAACAAGACGGTGCTGTTGGAACACCGCCGTGTGTTATTGTAGGACCGGTTAATAATCCGTGTTTCTGGGCCATCGTCTTTCCCCATGCCAGGGAGGCGAGAGCTTTAGGCTGCTTTTCCCCATACATATTCCATAGCCAAGAAAGTGGGGTTCCTAATGAGCACGAGAGGCTTAGGCCAAGCCCCCCTTGAACTGGATTCTTTCTTGTCTCGCAGGGGCACCTTCCGCTTTGAGAGGCCTGATGGCTCTCACTTTGATGTCCGAATTCCCCCCTTCTCTCTGGAGAGCAATAAGGATGAGAAAACGCCCCCTTCTGGCCTTCACTGGTAGGGCAGCTCAGGATCCACGTCCAGCCTTGGCCGGCCTGAAGGGTGACTTCCATCTCACAATGGCTGCAGAACGTTGGGCTCTTCCTTCACTTCTCATGGGTCTCCATGGGTTTGGTGTCTCTTATAGTTTGTTCCATTTGGTTGTTTTTTTTTGGGGGGGTTGTGTAACTCTTTTCTCTAAAGACCCACATTGGGCTCCTCCAAAACCAGCCTTCCCTGCTCTGCTTGCACTATGTTCCAATAAATCTTCCCAAGCAAGAGCCCAACCTGTTTGGCTGCTACAGGAAACAGGAGGAAATTCCCCCACCCATTCTATGAGTTGCTTCGGAGTGTGAGATTTGGTCAATAAATCAGTGCACGCCTGGCCACCCTCTCCATTTCTGCATCATGGCACCAGGTACTTGGTCCTCTGCCCTTTCTGAGAGCAAAGAAACTCCTAGAACTCTGAGCACGATGTTTTTTCCCAGCACCCCTCCCCTGAGGGAGCTCCTCCTCGGCCCGAGCCGTCTCTACTCTCCAGCTTGGGGTTGTCGGTTAGGAGCCGTCTGGCCCGGCCACTCCTGACCTCGTTCAGTGTGGAGCAAGTGTGGAGCCAGGCGTTCTCCCCCACCTCTTTGGTTCCTGACGGCATTTGGATGAGAGCATGGAAGGGGTCTCCAGCCAAGGGACACAGAGAAGTCGACTTGTCCAGTTTTTAGAGGCCGTGTCCCCCTTTCCAAGAAGGGCTTTTGAGGACACAGGTCCCCAGAGCTGTCTGGGGAAGGTGACCCATGGCTTCTGGGTATAGGGTTGGTTAGCAGTTTGGATTCCTGGGCCAGTGTGGAAAGGAATTATAAAAGGGGGTCCCGGGTTTAACTCAGTTAAATGATTGGGATGGATAGAACCGGCCCCAGAGGCCTCTCTTACCCGAGAACCCGTTTTCTGTCTTGTCTGGAAGGTAAAGAAGTGTATTTTTCTAAGTAAAGTAAAAGTAGGGTTGCCTGTAAGCCATCTACCCCCTTCCCTGTCCTGCTGGAATTGCTTGGGCTATTATGACCAAGGGGGCAACGTGGCCTCTAGTTAAAAACTAGATTGCTGCTTTGACTGGGAAGTGCCTGCTTGCAGTACAGCTGGACCATGTTGGGTCTTGGGATCCGGGGGGAGATGTAGTTATTTGGTGGATGGAAAAATCACCCCGGACTGGCCAAGTGACATCACACACAAATAAATTCCCACTTGATATACGGTGTAACAGGATTTTATTAAAAATTAGTGTTTGCTTCCATTGCCTGTGCTAATCAGGGAGTGGGAATATTGCCATGTAAAAGGTTAGTGAGAAAAGTGAAGCCCTCACCGAGCCAAGGGCCTACCTGACCTTGAGACAGAGAAGGGAAACTGAACTACAGAATCCCTGGGAGCCTGACACGGCTGGATTGTACAAGACGGAAGGGGAGCCTACCCTGAGCCGTTAGCTGGCTTGCGGTTAAACTACCCAAATGGGGGTCTGGAGCTTGGGGCCCAGTGTCTAGGGGTGGAAAATACCTCCCCCCTGAGCTGCTGCCGCTGCCACCACCATGCCACACCCATAGCTCTCTCATGACACCTTGGTGTATGTCAGGGGAAGGTCATTTAGTTCCGATTTAAAAAACAAACACAAACAGCAGCTTAAAGATAGGACAGTCATTTCAAAAGTGCTATATAAAACACACCAGAGCTACCTGGAGTAGGGGCAGGGGGGAGGGCCGTGGTGGCAGCTTCTGCAGCCAGGCAGTGACTGATTGTCTCTGACCTGTGTTTTTCATCCGCTCTGGCTGCTGAAGTCAAAGTTCCCACAGCTAAGAGATGAGTGACTTAAGGATTTCCTGATGAACACTTGAAAAATAGGTCTCTATTTTCTGAATGGGGAGTTAGTGTCTTCTAAAGGAAATTCTCCAACTACTTTGCCTATAGCTATAGTGTTTCGGGTAAAAGCAGCAGCGGTCATGCCAACAGACCAAGTTTTCTGATAGTCTCAGCCAGGGCAACATAAGATAATGCCCAGTAACGTGTCTTCACTTCTACATGAGAAAGGGTAGAGGAGAGGGTGAGGCCATTCTAGGGCTGCAGATCCCTTCCTGGTCTAGGAATCCGAGGCCAAAGGACAGGTGCCTCCTGTTAAAAGGGTTGCACCTCAACGGCCAAAGGAGTGGGAACAATGAGAGCTCTGGCGAAATCAAGACCAGACTTGAAAAGATCCCAAGCTCAGGGCTCAGCAGAACTGGCTAAAAAAAGGCAGACTTTGGTGTCCTGCCCTGAATTGGCAGGTGGCTGGGAAGGTGCCATTCGAGATTCCAAGAATAAAATGGAATAACAAACAAATGCCACCTGCCTTTGGATTCCTAGAAACCACCACTGATTGAAGAAGTAGGATGTAGGCTGGAACGACTGATGAGAGGAATGGGCTGATTGGAAAACACCTGGCTTCTTTCACAACAGGCACATTCTTCTGAGAAAAAATTCTGAAAAGACTTTCTGAAGGTCACGCTAAACCAAGTGGGGAAAGGGAGGCCTACAGCCCTGAAGAGAAGCCATTTGAATTCCCATGCCTGAGCAGCAAAGATTCCATGAGCTAAATGACCCAGCCAAAGGGGCCGAAGGTGTAAAAGGAACATGCTACCCAATCCGATGTTTGTGGGGCTGCGTCACCAGATCCTCCAGCTGGACTTGCTACTGTTGCAGCCTGAGAATTCAGCCTTTTCTCAAGATTTCCCAGGCCCTGGGCAGTCTGAGCCTGCTGTCTGTTTTTACAGCTACAGGCCAACCACCTTGCTCATTTCATCCAAAATGGGACCTGACTGACCTTTCCTCTCTCAAGAACTGGATCCTGGAAGAAGGAGCAGGATTAGGTGTGGGGAAAAAAAAGGAAAACATGGGAAGATTAACCTCTGTTCTCTGGTGAGAATCTGATGGATCAGGGCTGACAGCTTTTTGCAGAAGAATACAAAGTACTCTGAAGAAACTGCATCATGACCCAAGAGAACCAAGGGAAGGGAGGGTCTCCAGCCCCCTTCCCCTCTCCGAAGGGGCTACAAAAAGCTGCTGCTCTTCACCTGTGACTGGAAATGTCCTAGGGGACTGCCCAGGGCCTCTCCATCCCTGGAACCGAATTCTCAGCTCCTTCTTGACCCCAGAAACAGGCCATGATGCAGTGCCCTACCCCTACCCCCAAGCTTTGGCGAAGGGCAAGAAGATCCATGAAAGGGCACCAGGCCTGATGCTTCAGCGCCTCCTCAGCAAGAGCCTGATCCCCAGGCCTTAAGGCTGTGGCCTGGAGAGCAATGACTTAGGGCTATCAAGGCAGGGAACCAGGCAGCTGGGGAACAGGGCCAACCATGCCATTGGTGGGCAAGGCCCAGTCCCCCTGACGAAGGTCCTTCCCCCTCCTGCCCCCTCGGCCTCTCTGGGGGCTCTGTCCCGCCCTGAGGGTTGAGGCGTATACTCGCCCAACGAGTGATGCTGGTTTGGGTGCACCAGGGAGAAGGGGAACCTAGGCCGTGTGGGTCCCACTGCCCTGCGGTGCCGTCAGTCGCGATGGGAGGACTGGTGGCCGAGTTGCCGATCGTCATAGGTGCTGTAGCGTTTGACGTGGATACGGCGGACTCGGTCTCGTAATTCAGAGGCCTCCTCGTCTTCACCGTGGCAAGCCTGGCTCCTGCTCCGGCTCGTGGCCTCCAACAAAGAGTTGTCAGGGACTCGGGGTGTCTCATAGAGCAGGACGTTGAGCGTTTCCTCATAGATGCGGGCCTCTGGGAACTCCACCTGGGGCCCAGGAAAACCAAGAGGAATTAAAGAGAGGTTCTGAACACAGGCCCATCACTTCATCAGCTGCTGTGGGCTCACCTACCATAGAAGGGAGCTCCCAAATACCAAAGCCTCATTTTGAGGTGGACTAAGAACCCACCTTGGTGCAGGGCCTCAGTTTTTCTCATCTAAGAAATAGGAAAAAATGCTTCCTTGTGCTTTCAGAAATCTCTCTGGCCTTCTGGAGGGAAGACAGCTATATTGTATGACAGAAGGTCAACAGGACATTGGGGGTGAAGGGGTGGGGAGGCTGGTGACCTCACCTCCCAGTGTGGTAGAAAGAGTTTGGTTTTTGGAAGTCCAGAGACCTCAGGTCTTCTCCAGGCTGAGTTTGGGAAAGGAATTTTATTTTCCTGAGCCTCTGTCTCCTCCTCTGACAAATGAGGGCACTAGACAAAGTGATTCCCAACGTCCTATGCAGCTTTAGCCTACCAGTAATCAGCTTACCTTCTCTCAGTTTCCTCACTGTGAGGAAATGGGTGGACCCTCTCTCATCTGCCTACCCCATGGGGTTTTTGTGACGACAAACTGAGATCATGGATGGGAAAGTGCCTGAGAATGGGTATGGTCCCATACTAGCAGAAGTAGCCCCTTGACCTTGGCTGTACTGGCACACACTTGAACCACCTGGGCTAACTGTTTAGGGAGACTTGGGGCTTTTTCTAAGGACAAACCCTCATCCCCTCCCCTTTCCTTCCTGGACGTCCCCAAGCCCTGATACAGTGGGACTGCGGAAGCTGCCAACTCCTTACCCACGTGCACTCTGTGACAACCGTGCCCTCTATGCGCATGCCCAAGCCTCCCTGACCCTTCAAACTTCTCACGTCTCCCCGAGCCAAACTAGCACACAGATGCTTTAAGACATTGATCCAGCTGAAAGACAGGCGGTGGCCACACGGCCTGGAGCCCCAGGATGCGCACAAAGCACCCCCACCCTCAAGGCCTCCTGGCCTACCTTCGTCTGCTTCTTCTCGGTGGCGTAGACGATGGAGGTGCAGCACACCTCGGCCAGCTTCCGGCCTTGGCCATAGAAGGACCAGCAGCAGATTTCGTCTCCGATGACATCCTTAATGAAGAGCACGCGGCCGTTGAAGCGTAGAGAGAGTTTGTCAAAGAGCTCAATGTTCTTCAGCAAGTGGTCGTCGGAGTTGCTACCCCAAAAAAGACAGAAGGTGTGGAGTGAGCCCCAGGCCTCTGGAGCAGAGAAGAGAATGGGGTCAAGGCTGTAGACTGGGCCGGGCCCCCCTCCCTTTGGCCTCAGAGCCACAACCTGTCAGTGAAACGCCAGGAAGCCCTCCCTCCCTCTGTGCCGGCGTGGCGCCGGACCTGCAGCTGACCAAAGGGATGGACCACGGCTCCTCCTCAGGTGCCCACACCCCCTGCATCCCGCCTACCTGGTGTAGGAGTATTTGTTGTTGCTCCGGTTGTAGAGTAGCTTTACCACAGGCTGCGGGGGAAGGCAGAGACGAGTGATGCGGGGGCGCTGCTTCCTGCCTCCCCTCCCCTCCCCCAGCTGCCCTCCAGGGTGGTGGCACTACCTTAGTGGAGGCTTCAATGAGTCGCTCCTCCTCCTTTGGGGATGTGATGATGGGGATGTTGCACACGGGCTGGTATAAGTCCTTCTCATCCTGCGCGTGAGTGAGAGAGAGAGAGACTGCTGCTAACTCCCCTCCGTGTGCCTGGTGCCAGGGAGGAGGCGCCCAGGGCACTGCCAGCAGGGCAGCTCTTAAACTTTCCATAACCTGAGGGGGCAGGCAGGACACAGACAAGTCCCCACTTTACAGAGGATGAAAAGGAGGCTCAGCTAGTTCTGCCTATTATCACAGGTGATAATCTTGGGCATGCACACAAAGAGCACAGTTGTCATAGAATAGGGCCATATAATTATAACCAATAATGACAGCTGGCATTTCTTTTCTTCTTTTTTTTTGGGGGTGAGGCAATTGGGATTAAGTGACTTGCCTGGGGTCACACAGGTAGTAAGTGTCAAGTGTCTGAGGCTGGATTTGAACTCAGGTTCTCCTGACTCCAAGGCCAGAGCTTTCTAACCCCTGTGCCACCTAGCTGCCCCCATAGCTAAGACTTTAAGTTTTGTCATGTACTTTACAAATATCTCATTTTATCTTCAGAATGACCTACCACTCTGAGAGATAGCTGCTCTTATTATCCCCATTTTACAGAGGAAACTGAGGCAGCAGCTAAGTGACTCATCCAGGGTTATACAGCTAGTCAACCTCTAAGGCTGGATCTGTGACTCCAGGCCCAGCACTCTATCTATCCACTGTGAACCCTAACTGCCTGGTGACTTGCTCAAGGCCACACTTCAGTTAGTGGCAGGGTAAAGCCCGGAGCCCAGGTGTCCTGCCTCCTCATGGGGGTCATGCCACCGCAGGCACTGGTGCGGCCAGTGCCGTAGCCAGACTCGGTAAGCGCCCCTGGGGGTGGTGAAGACTGAGTGACAGGCTGACGGCCCACAGGATTCAGTGAGATACAACAACAAAGGCAGTCAAAGACAGGCAGCCATGCTCCCCCCGAGCCCACCTGATAGACAACCACACGGCCAAAGAAGCGGTCTGCTGCCAGGGGCTCTCCTGGCGTGCTGACACAGGTTTGGATCTACTCCAAATTCTGTCTCTGCCCAAGTCCTTGGAGGAGAGGGGGGAGGGACCTGCTTGGGCACTGGTGTCTACCCCTCTACCCACCTGCAATGCCGTCTGACACATGTCCACCAGGCCCTGGATGAGGTAATATTTGGCTTCTGCCATCAGCTCCTTGATCTCTTGCCGGTTCTGGGGGAGGGTGATGGTGTCATCTCGGAGGTAATTCAAAATGGCGCCAAAGTGTTTCCCACATCGGTCTATGAGGATCCAGCCTAGGAATTCAGACCAGAACCCAGAACCCGGGGTGATTACTGCTGTCCCCGGAGGACTTTATTCCTACTGTTCCTGAGCAATGAGTAGGAATGGGGGTGGGGGTGATCTCTACAAAGGGCCACAGGAATGGTCGTGGGAAGTCAACTCATTTCTGGGCCCTCACTTACCTGTAAGACAAGGGATGGTCCAAACCACCTCTGATGTCCTACTCAGCTCTACAGTCTATGAAAGGGAACACCCCCCCATCCCTCATGCGAGGTCTGCTCAGGGACCCACCCGTCCAAGGGCTTCCTTCTCAGCCTTGGGTCCTTACCCTCCTTGTCAGTCAGCACCTCCATGCGCCCGCTGAACATGGCCTTCAGCATGGTGTCGTGCCGCGTGAGCACCCGCACCGTGGTGTAGTACAGGGAGCCCCCGACGTTGAGCTGAATATACTTGTTGCCCATCCCACCACCCTTGAAGCCCCCTGGCTTGGGCTTAGACCCTGAGGCTGGGCACAGGCCCGCCAGGCAGGTGTCTCCGGACATCTCCCGCTGTAGGTAGATGACCACACGGCAGGAGGTGGGCCTGGGGCGTTCCACTGTGGTGGAGGAAGTCACAGGCAAGCAGCTGGCAGAGGCCAGAGCCTCATAATCTCAGGACTGAAGGCAGAAGGGAAGAAAGAACAGGAGTGTGAACTTGGACCTCCAATAATCCCATCAAATCTTAGGCAACCAATCAAAGTCCTAGTGAGACTGAGAATCTGGCCAGTCCCCCGGAGATGACCCTTCAGACCTCCCGTCAGAGGCAAAGTACCAACAGGAGGGGGTTTACTGTACCAGATGACCCAGGCCGACTTGGAAAAAGATGGCACCCACGGTCTGGCAGCACCCTGTTCCTCTTGTCCCTCCAGGCCCCCCAGGAAAATGGCTTGGCAGCCCTCAGAGACACAGCCCGGGGGCCCTACCAAGAGACAGAAGCAAGACCAGCCAGAGAGGTTCACAGGCACAACAAAGAGTATGACATTATTATAATAAGACATGAGAGGGGAAGCTAGGTGGCGCAGTGGATAGAGCTCTGGCCTTGAGTCAGGAGGGCCTGAGTTCAAATCTGATCTCGGACACATGATACTCACTAGCTGTGTGACCCTGGGCAAGTCTCTTAACCCTGATTGCCTCTTCAAAAAAAAAAATTAAAAAAATAAGACGACAGGAGACATTATAAATAACGAATAGGACTCTTTTCCATGCCAGGTGTATTCTATTCCCAAAGGTTCAACAGAATCCCAGCACTGCAGCCAAGCCAACTGGCAATTTACCCAAAACTAAAGAGCTCCCCAGGACTCAGATGAAAGGCATTTAAACTGTCCATTTAAATAGAAAGGGAGGAAGCTGGTTCCCTTTCCCTTCCCATATTTCCTTCCTTCCTTTTTTTTTTTAACAAAGTAATTTTAAAAAATCAATTTAATTTTATTTTCTGGTCTGTATTCTCTCACTTCCTTCCCTCCCAACACTGAGAAAGCAAGAAAAACCACGCCCGTTACAAACATGTGGAAAGGAATCGAGAGCCACCACTTGGGGTGAAAAGCAAGGGGACTTAGAGGAGATGGGAACAAGCTAAGATGAAGCCGGTGGTGTCTTCAACTGCCAGACCTGAAGGTCCACAGAGAGGGTAGGGCTGGATAAGCTGATGTGAGAATCATGACGTAGAAACGGTTACATCGAGGAGAGCTGATAAGATCACCAAAGGAAATAGTCTAAAGGGAGAAGACGGCCCAGGACAGAGCCTGAGGGATGCTCAGGAGTCACCTGGAAGAGCAGCCAGCAAAAAGGAGCCTGAGAAGGAACACTCAGAGGGGTCGGAGGAGAACCAGGAGAGAGATGTGTCATGAAAACCTAGAACCGCCAGCCCTGGCCTCCTGCTGCTGGGTTCTGGATTCTTGAATTCAGGTCGATCCTTGACATTCTCAGAGTTCTCCTGTCTACAGAAATGACCAGAAGGCCACTTGCTGGCTTGTCTTCCTGAGAGAAGGGGCAGGGGTTCCCAGCCTTTTCCTATTTCCTGAGGGAAGGAAGAAGACCCTGGAAATGCTTCATGTTCCAGGAAAGTCACAAGAACCCAAACACTGGGGATTCATTGTGAGATGAATTTTAGATGCTAGTGGGCCTGAGGTGGGGGGAAAGCATAGAGGGAGACAGACTACCCCTCATGGACTACAGACTGTGTCTGATTTTCCTCCCACCTACTTTCAAAGGCAGCAGGGTGGCCTTCTGAATTTTGCGACATCTAACCAAAAGGTTATTTTCCTTTCTGCCTTTTCAACCTGTTACGCCTTCAGTAGCTTTTCGAAGCTTCCCTTTCCCTTCCCTAGGAAGCCAAGAAAACACACAATTGAATGACAAAGGAAGGGGATTTTCCACCTCGGGAAACCATCAGCACATTAAGAGCCATGCGCGGCCCCCCTCTTACAATGCAACAGCTTTTGAGCCAGGAGCCTCTCCTGGACAACAGTGAGGTCAGATTCCATTTTACTCTGAACCAATGGGCTCTCGAATTCCGCCAAAAAGTAACGCCCTGAAATGGACTCCAGGGAAAATGAAGTTTCCACTGAAACCTGCTCTTCCTTCCTGACTTTGTCGGGCCATTTCTTTGGGAGATTTAATGTGGCTTGGTGGTATGTGGGTACTTCAACCAATTAGGTGAGGAGAAACTTTGTTGACTAGGGAACCGACAGAGCAGAAGGAAATAGATGTGACCTGGGAAGAGGTGCAAGAAGGGGTCCCAGGAAGAAAGGATAGTCATGGGGGAGGGAAAGCAATCCTTCACACAGTGAATTTTTATTACTCTGGACCACCCCTCCCTCCAGTTCCTGTCATGGATGCAGGAAGCAGAAAGAAGCCTGCAGAAACCAGCAGGAGAGATGCAGCCGTAGTCTCAGCCAGGAGGCTCCCTCCCTCCATCCCAAGATTTTAAAGGCGTTCACAAGTCAACCCGAGCTTCACCGAACCCTGGAGGGAGGACTGAGCAGCAGTCACTGGGGCCAAGCCTTCATTTTGTCAATTTCAACAAGTATCAGTAAGTCAGCGCAGGCACCGTGGAGCCAAAAATCAAAAAAGAAACTGTTCCTGCCCTCAAAGAATCTCCATTTCTCTAAACCTCCTTTCCATTTCTTCCTCGCCTACCCTCTCTTCTTCCTTTTCTCTCTAGCTCTGTCCTCTTTCCCTTCCTCCTTTTTCGCCACCTCTCTTTTCTCCTTCTCCTCCCTCTCCTCTCTCTCTCCCTCACCCTTCTCTTTCCACTTATCCTTCCTCTTCCTTCCATTCCTCCTCCTCCTCCTCCCACTCCTTCTCCTCTTCCTCCTGCTTCCATCCCCCCGCCGGGTCTCGGACGGCGGGGAGGGGGCACACTCAGGGTCTCGGGCCCAGGGCGCTGCGGGCGGCTGAGCCTCCTTGCCTCCCCACTCACCCCGCGCCGGGACCCCCGGCCCTTCCGGGACTGACGCAACCCTTTTCTTACCTTCCTCCCGGGAGCGTCTCCCTAGGGCTCTCTCCGGCCCCGACCCCCAGCTCCGGCTCCCGCAGTCCAGCCAAACCGAGCGCCCCGACCCCCGCCCCAGTCTCCGCTCGTGAGCTCATATCCTCCGCTGGCTCCACCCCGAGTCCGGCTCCCACGCCTGCCCGGGGGAGGACCCACGACTACAACTCCCAGCATGCAAAGCGACCGAAGGCACGTGTCTAGGCGTGTGTGTTTTCTCCTGCCCATGCTTCCTGCGCAGCCGGCGTATCCCCAGGAAAGAAGGGAGGCGACTTCCGGCCCCTCCCTCGGCGCACAGGACTAGGGGAGGTGTGGGCTTGTCCCTGCTGTCTAACCGTCGCGCCTCAGACTCTCAGACGCAGCTTCCCAGCAGGCACTTCGAAGAGGAAGGGGAACGGTTTCCGGCGGCGAGTTCGCGGCGCGAGAAGTGACGTGTACGGTAAACGGAGCTGTAGCCGTGGCAGCGGCGGAGCCAGCTACGGACCGGAGAGCGGAGCTGCCGTCTCCCGCGCCCGCCCTGCATCGCGGCGGGCCCCGGCGTCAGGTAGGTGGCGGCACGGCCCGCGAGGGGAGGGCCCGCAGCGCTCCGGCGACAAGTGGCCTCGCCTCAGAGTGCGGGCTGGTGCCTCCGTTTCCCTGGGACTCCAGGGGAGCCCCCGGTGACAAGGCCTGGAAGAAGTCAGACCGCGGGCCCCGGAGAAAGAAGCTCCCAAGTTCACCCCGGTTCCTCGAGTGTCTCCCGGGGGCTGCCGGTCCTGTGGCCCACGCCGGCCGTCAGTCAGTCAACAATCGCCACGTGCCACACTCGGCGCCGGGGATTTCGCCCCCGCCTTCGGGGGCTGGCTCAGAGCTGCGGAGCAGGTGCGGACCCCGCTTTGTACCGGGGAGCGCCCCCGCTCCGGCTAAATCACCAGGTGTGGCTTGGAGGTCAGGCCCAAGGTCCGAGCTGCCCCGGGTCCGAACCTGATCCGTGACCACCTGGGGCCTGGGGGGGGGGGGACGCCGGGGGACCCTAGCAGTGGCCCCTCGACGTCCGTCCTGAGGCGGACAGGGAGGCCCAGTTAAAGTTTACTTATCACTGGGGTGGGGGCGGGGACAGGGTGCGCACAGATCGGGAGAATTAGGGGAGTACAGGATGTTAACACTTGGGGTGGTCGCGGTAACATACGGGGCAGGTGGGTCCGGAGGGAGAGCAGGCTAGGCGTGGGGAACGACTGCTGTCTGTGAGCTAGAGAGCTGAGGTCAGGAGGTGAGGATCTGAGTGGGGAGACCTTTGTGTGGGTATTGGGGGAAGGGGTCTAGATTTAGTTAGCCGATCCATTGATGATCAGAGGCTCTTTCAATGCTCTGAACTTCCAAAATCACTTGTGCGGGCAGCTAGGTGGATACAGCATCAGGATGGACCTGAAGTCAAATGTGGCCTGAGACACTTAATAGCTTGTGACCCTGGGCAAAGTCACCTAACCCGGATTGCCTGCCCCTGCTCCCCCCCAAAAAGAAAAAAGTTGTTCTGAGCCTTTTTTTCTTGTAGGGGTCTCCAGTAAATATTCAACATCTATACTGTATAAAAAGGGTGAGTGGAGGGGCCTGTTCAATTTTTTTCTTTCATTTTTGTGCCTTGTGTCCACCTTAAAAAATCGTCAGGGATCTGGCACACATGGCCACGTGGGCTGCACTTCTTAGGGTAATACAACCTCACTGGATTCATCAAAGGTCCAGGATTTCAGCTTTGCAGTTTCAGAAATTTCATTTTAGGAAATAAATAGTCAATAAACATTTTATTAAGTATCTGCTAAGTGCCTAAGGGCAACTAGGTGCTGCAGTGGATAGAGCTCTAGGCCTGAAGTCAGGAAGACTCATCTTCCTGAGTTCAAGTCTGGCCTCTGATACTGTGTGACTTTGGGCTAGTCACGTCACCCTGTTTGCCTCAGTTTCCTCATTTGTAAAATGATCTGGAGAAGGAAATGGCAAACTGATGCAGTATCTTTGCCAAGAAAACTTCAAATGGGGTCATGGAGAAGTGGAGACAACTGAAAAACAACTTACCAACAAGTGTGTGCCTGGGGCTGTGTGGGACGTTGGAGGAGGACCAGCACCTCGGGTGTGAGGGCTTGCTGAGCCCTTTTCAGGGCTGCTTATCCACCTTTGGAGTTCATCTGTCACCCAACTCTCCCCTTGGCTCCAAGAAGCATGCCCAGGAGCCGCACCCTGTAAACCGATTTGGCAGATAGGCTAAACTGGGTTGAGGGTAACCCACAGGCCTCAAGCCCATCGTTGAGTTAGGGGGATGTCTACCCCAAGTATGTGAAGACTTACCCCGGCAGAATGGGCAGATGAGAACAGTTTGTTCCGACAGCCACGAAGGCGGCTGAAGCAACGGAGTGCCTAGACCCAGGTCAGACAGTGAAGATGCCCAGGTCATGTGCTGCATCCTGGGCCATCACCAGTCGCCCTGACTTTTGTCCTGCCGCTTGGATGACCCTGGAAGAGAGGCTGATGACGTCAAGTGACTGCTTCACTTAAACCCAATTCTCATGCAAGTCAAGACATTACCCCAAGTTGCCATTGGTCTTTGAAAATGAAGGATGAACAGCAGCAACACGATGTGCCTGGCACTGTGTCCCTGCCCTCAAGGAGCTTACAGTCTAATGGGGGAGATGCTACACAAAAGGTTAATGGAAAGGAGCCCCTCTGGGCTACCTGGCTTGGAGGCCCAATGCTTGAGGAGTTGAAACCAAACAGCAGCTGATGGTAAGGGAGTGAACTGGAAGAGTCCAAGTCCCCTTCAAAGGGAGGCCTTGGAAGAGTTCAATTGCTCTGGCCTTCAGTCCGAGGGGAGAGGCACCTGAAAGTGCTGAGGAGGTGTTACCAAGGTAAGGTTTCAGGGGACGAGCTTCTCCTCGGGGAGGCAGGATGTTCCTGGAGCTGGAACCATGCAGAGCAGCTGACATAACGTCAGAAGAAGGTAGCCGGGCAAGTTAGCCGTTCACCGACGATTGGCCGAGTCCTGGGGAAACCCAACTCCTGAGACTGATTTCTAATCCAGCGTGCCCGTTTATTAATTTGTAGTGGGAGGAGCCATACTGCTTGTCTGTGCAGGGTGCTGCTTCTTGAGGGGGTAGGTCTGCTCTGGAGACTGAGTACCCAAATCTGAAGGTGGCTTGGTGAGCCCAGCTGGAGAGCAGAGGATGTTGCATGTTTTTTAGGGGCTAGGGCAATTTGATGGAGGGTCTGGTATCAGTCATCTGTCATCAGAGCACCCCCACTTCTGGACTGTCCCGGAAACACACCGGCAGACCCCTCCCTGTTGGCTCTCACCTGCTGTAAGGCCAGCAGCGCCTTGGTACATTGTGGTAGAGCTGGTCCCAACCTGCCCTGATTTACATCATAGCAGTGATTTTCTTTAGCGATTCTGAGACCCCAGGTCTCACTGAACCCTGTTTCCCAGTCATCAGTCAGCATGGGGTGGCGCCTTCAACAGGCAAGTGGACTTTATTCCTCCCTGCCCTTTGTTCTCCTTGTGGCCCATTTCATTCCTCCCTTCAGACTGGAGCTTCTGTTCTTCGAGGGAGGGGGAGGGTACAGGGAACCCCCGAACCCTTGAGGGCCAGTTGGCCAAGGTGGACGAGTTGCTTTGGAACTTCCCCAGCCAGAATGGGCGGCTGAGAACAATCTGTTCTGGTAACCTTGGCGTTTTGGTGTTGGTGCACAGCGTTGTGTTGGGGTGGAGGGCCTTCCTCTGGTCACTGAAGAGTGGGTAAGGCATAGGATTTTTGTATTTGCAGCCATGGCTAAAGACATCCTGAGTGATGCAGGCCTGCACTTTGATGAGCTGAACAAGCTTCGAGTCTTGGACCCTGAGGTGACTCAGCAGACCATAGAACTCAAGGAGGAATGCAAGGACTTTGTGGACAGTGAGTAGCTCTTGGCCCTTTCTCCTTCAGCTGCCTCCCCCAGTCCCAGAAACCCAGGCTTATGCCCTCCTCCTTATAAGGCAGTCAGGGGGCTACTGCCCACGCTCATGCTACCTCCCCCTACCCATCCTTCTCCTCTCTTTCTTAAAGACTGAGCCCCCTTTGATTGCAGGGCTACTTATGGGTCTGATCCTGTTATTGAGAGGCACAGGAGTCTGGACCTGTTCTGTTTCTGCCCTGGGCTGGTTTACTCTCTTTCCCCTCCTCGTTCATATTAATGCCAAGCTTAGTGCAGGCACCTTATTGGCATAGTCCACTTTACCTGAGGCTCCTAGGTAGTCAGCATCACCATGACATGCCCGTCCTTTCTTATTTCTTAATGCATGGGAGGGGGCTGGGTTTTCATTTTATCTTACACTGGCCTCTTCCAGGCTGATGGAGAGATCAGAAATTTAACCTTGACTGAAGATAGATCTTTCTTTCCCACAAGCTTAGTTTGAATGGTGTTTCCTCCAAACATAAACCATGGCCTTATGCTCTTTTTCAGTTAACAGCCAGGCTTGACTGAAAAACTGGATTTCCTTCAGATTTATCTTAATATTTGATTTCTTAATCTGAAGACGTGTGTACTAGGCTTATCTCTGCCCTCGTGTGCCTTCTCAGCATGACCTTGGCTAAGTCACGTAAACTCACTTGGACCTCAGGTTCCTTCCCCTCCCCCACCAAACGGTAATCTTTGCCTTTCCCTGCTCCTCCTGCCAAAATCTAAAAGCCAAATGGAGGAATGCACAAAGAAAAGCCTTGGGTTCTTTGGTGTGAGGGTTAACGTAATTCTCTGTGGTCATGTGGGATGCTGACGTTCAGCTGATCCTCGGGCCACAGTTTGCAGTCTCCCACAAGAAACCTCTGATGGACTGGAACAGATGGTTGCTACCCCAGCAGGTAGGGCTCAGCAGAAAGAACGTACCCGCAAGCTGAAGGGATCGCTGAAAACTTCTGTCCCAGGGCATTCAACATTGAGGCGGCTGCCCAGGCAAACCGCGCTCTGCAGGGCTCTAATGGGGAGGAAGTAAAACGTCTCACTTTTCTTTCCCTGAAAGAAATTGGCCAATTTCAGAAAATAGTTGGCGGCTTCATTGAGCTCGTTGACCAGCTCGCGAAAGAAGCTGAGAACGAAAAGATGAAGGTAAGATGAGGTCAGACAGAGGCATCTTAATGAAACCTTGGGCCCCTGACCTTCCTGTCCTCTCCTTCCTGTCCACCTCATGCCATCTGTTTGAGAGAGCCCTCATGAGGCAGGCACAGTGCCTGCTTTCAAAGCTAACCTTCCTTTCCTTGCTGATAGGTCCGACCAAAGGTAGGCCACCCTCACCCTCCCGTCCTCCGATTCTCTGAATGGCTTTTCCATCACGGCGAGTTTTTCGTCGAGTAGCTGTGTCACGACCCCCACTTTCTGTGTTCATCCTGTTTTCACGGTTTACTTTGGGGAGGCTGAATACAGCTGGAAATTGTTGTTCAGTTTTCTCAGTCATCTGTCTCCACAGGCAATTGGGGCACGCAACTTGCTCAAATCCATAGCAAAGCAAAGGGAGGCCCAGGAGCAGCAGCTGCAGGCTCTAATAGCAGAGAAGAAGATGCAGCTAGAAAGGTAAGAATTATGAGAGGAACTGACCTCGGCTCATTCGCCAGCTGTCCCCAGTTTGGCTGTTAGGCTCTGCAGCACCCACTCTAGTGCCCTTCCCTCTTCCCTCCACTGGAGTCTCAGAACTCTTGGCTAGTTAAAGATGGGTTTTGATGGGAAACATTATTTTTGTTACTTTTCTTGCTTATATTGAGACTTTTTTTTTTGTAGTTTCTGAATCTCTTTCTCTTATCCCTCTCCTTTCCAGTGAGCTATCACTTGCAGCAAATAAGAGAAAAAAAATGCATCAGTAAACCCAAAGTTATCACCTGACTCTGGTGTATGCAGGTGTCCCACATCCATAATTCCCCTTTCTCAAAAAGAAGGGAGTGTACTCTCAGAGTCTCCTTTTGACCATTATTAGTGTTAGGTTTGGGAAAACTTATTTTTAACTTTTGTCAAAGAGTGAGGAGGGGGAAAAGCTTAGAAGGAAAGATTAGTTTGGTGTGATTGTGGCTGTCTGTACTGTAGATTGAAAGTTGTCCTAGCATGTCCTGGAAAGAAATGTGCTTAAGGTAGATAGATTCTGGGATCGTGATGTATTTCTTTTCCATCCTTTACTTAATTTCTTCTGTTTTCTTTTTTAAAACTGCTGAACCTTCTTGCTTCCTCAGAATCATGTGACCACCCTGCTTCCATAACATGTGCACACAGTAGACAAGTGGTTTGTATACCATCATTTCATCCCTCTTTAGGATTTCTAACAATTTTCTGTCTTTCAGGTATCGGGTTGAATATGAAGCTTTGTGTAAAGTAGAAGCAGAACAAAATGAATTTATTGACCAATTTATTTTTCAGAAATAAGCTGATTTTTACAGTAAAAACCCTATTTTAAAAAAACCCCCCACCAAAAATCCCCCCTCAACCGTATCATTCCAATAAACTTGATGACCACATGCACATATATGCAATTTGGGATTGTAACAAATAGCATGTCTTCTTGAAAGGCAATAACAAACCTTTTTTTAGAATTCTGCCCAATTGTAGCCAAGTGGCAGTAACCAGGACCTGCCTATCCAGAAGGCAGGACAGCAGGGCTAACCATCTTTTGCTGTGGACTCTCCTGTGTTGTCAGTCTCTGACCTCTAACCACATCTGTAAACACCAGTCCTTTTTTGAAGCGCCTGCCACTTTGAAATAAGGCAATAAATTATTATTTCTAGATTTTTGTTATCTGCTTGTTGTACTTTGAATACCTATTTGCAGTTCTCACTGGAAAATTCTTTCTCCCCGAGTAATCCACAAAAGAAGTCATGGTCAGCAGCCATCTTTATTTGAATTAGGTACACAATCAGTTTTCAACAATTAAAGCAAATACCAATTTGTGAGGAGCATTTTATGAGGAAGTCTTTATTAAGTGCTTACTCAGGCCCTGGAATAAGCACTAGGGATACAAATACAAAAACAAAAAACAGGCTGCCCTCAAGGAACTTACATTCTAACATAGGAAGACACACACATATCAGGTAGTAGTGGCCAGGGAAGAGTATATTGGTCTGGAAAGTCACAGGGATGGTGAATGGAATCAGAGTAACTGACTGACATCATCTTTCCAGGAATGGTGGTTGATTTGCTTACTGATCCCAAAGAAAAAGGACCACAGGAGAGGTAGGAGGTTAGGGGGAATCCATCCTGTGGCAGCATGACAAGAAGACCGCCAGGGTGCCTTCCAGGAAGGGAGCTGGACAAATGTCCAAGAGTCATGAAGAGTGGAAAGCCCCACAGCAGAGGCAGTGTTGCCTGGAGCCTGCTCCACTCTGTTATGGACAAGGGCAAACTTAGTTTTGGGGAGCAAATTTCAGGGTAACAGTAGGTCACTACCTCCAGGTACATGCAGGAATGACAGAACATGATGAGCAGCTGCTATTCATCTCCATTACCATGTGGAGACTTAAATTGTGATAGAAAAAATGACAGTTTCTTGGTGAGAGGCAAGACACTGGACCACAGCAGGTTATAATGAACAGAAGGTTTTGGAGAATGAACAAGATCATACTGCTTGGAAAGCAGGGTTTAAGTCAGATGACCCCTAAAGAGTCGAAAGCCCTAGGATTCAAATCAGTAAGGCTCAATAGAAGCACTAGTCAGAATAATTCTAATTGAAGAATTTGATGGGAATGGATCTCGCTTAAAGAAAAAATTTAAAGCCCTTTCCATTGAATGTTAATTCCCTTCAAAAAAAACCAAACAAAAAACAAAAAAAGGAAACCTAGAGAATCCCATTCCCACTGGAGAAATGCCTGGGGTGGGGTGGTGGGGGTAGTTCACAACCCTTTAAAACTAGCTCTAAAAGTGCAAGTGTGATGGACGAGGACATTGGGGCACTCAAGTTTATTGGGTCCGTGGGCCTACCAGGCTAGCAAGAGAGCAGGTGTTGTGCACCCGTTTGGTCTGATTTGGGTTGGAAAAAACTTAATGAAGAATTGCAAAGTAGCCCAAGAAATGTGTTTCTTTGAGCAGTCCCCTTATATGGCTTGGAGAGAAGAGTACCAAATGGCTGGTCATTCCGATTACTGGTCAAACTAACCTGAGAACCTGACTGATTAGACAGTTTCAAAGAATCTTCTTGTGGGGATTATGGCAGTGTGAATCCTGAGATGGTACTTGAGGCACACGCTGAGTATTCAGCACTGCTTCCCTGCAGCTCCCCCTGCCATCTTCAGGGGATCAGTCATTCCCAATTCCCCTGGCAAATGGCTTCTCCCACCTGCAGCCTTGTTCTGGGAGGTTGCTGCTGATGTGTTTCAAGGGGGGCCTGGGGAAACTGAGCACACACAAGGAGCTCTCTCTCCCTGGCCAGCTCTTCTTTACCTTGTTTTCCTTTTCTTTTTCTCGTCGCTGCTGTAGTAAGGACTCCAAAGCATAAAAAACAGGAGTATGAGTGGAATGAAGAAGTATGGAGCATAGATGGATAGAAGGCTGAGGCGTTCTTGGAGTGTCCTAGGTCCTTGGGTGAAACTCTCAAACAGGATGTGGGCGCTAATTGGAATTAATGTTGTCATTGTATGAACTGAGTAGATAATCGCAGGGATGCGGATCCACTTGCAACTTCCTAAAAGAATCAGAAGGGAAAAACTTCAGCGTTTAGGTGTGATGCTTCTCGAACAATTTCCAGAACGGCAGTGCGGGGCCTCCCTGGGAAATCTCGGCACAGCTGCCATTAACCACTCTGCACCTTGGCAATTGTACTCCTCCAGGAGCACGACCTTAGTGGCGCTGCCTGATGTGCAGACCTCCTGATCCTAAGAGGACAAGGAGAGAACTGTGGGCCGGATGTGAACCGGAAAACCACAGGGCAATTGAAAGGCAGCTCCATCAGCAAATACACGGCCTCAATCATCACCCAGTGATGGAGCTCGTCAACAGACCAACACCAAGGAACGTCCCAGTGCCAGAGGCCTTTCTAAGGCTGCTTCAGCTTAGTATCATGTACTCTTCTTAATGGCTTCTTTTTGGTGCCATTATAAGGAAATGGGAACACTAATAATTTTGAAATATTAACTTCAGGCTAGGGATAGCATGATGCTGCTGTTCATAAAGAAAGCCCAGCTACAAAACCAAGTAAACTGGGTGCAACATGGGGGGAGGCCAAACCTATAGCGAGAGACAGGTGGCCCCGAGCTGTAACAAGCATGAGCTATGCCTAAGGGTGCCTGTGGCTGCAGTGCCCAAAGAGTGGCAGCCACACACAGCCATCCAACCTGGAGCTTGGCTAGTGGTTCCGACTTTGTAGACCCCCCTTTTAATTTTACACTTGTTCGCTTCCCTTGGGGCTTTCAGCTTCATGAGACCACGAGGTCTCTGCTGTTTCTCCTTTCTTTTCCAAAAAATGACCCCCACACCCACCCCCGGGGCTTTTCTTCCTACTCCTTTAAACCCTTTTATTGCCTTGCCTCCTATGCCTGCTTTCAGGAGTATTTTCTGGTCCCCCTCAAAGCTCCTGGCACCTCCCTCAGCCCCCAACAAACACACTTTGGAAAGAGTGGTTTTTGAGTACAAAGGAGGTTTCAAGACATAATCACTGAAAACCCTTCCCCCCTGCTTACTGACCTTTGAAGAAGGCATACGCTGCAAAGGGAAAGAGAGGCAGCTGGAACACAAGCTCACAAAAAAGAAAGGACTTGAACCAGCTTGGAGGGTTCAGCATCAGAGGGTCTTTAAATGCCTGCACATACCACTTGAGCATGTCTGTCACCTGAAAGAGACAAGAGGGTAGTACCTGCCCCAGGTGTCACCTGCCTGGCCAACCTTTCACTGATCAGCTTCTTCAGAGACAGGAGCTGGACTTTGTTCTGACTGTGCCTTTTCTGGCACAATCTGGTTGATCTTTTAATGTAAATAAATCAGTCCTGATAGTAGTTTTTGGGTTAAAATTACAGGATGGCAAATGGGACTCCATGGGACATGACTAAGGTCAATGCCCTCAAAGACAACAGGGAACTCTGGTCATTCATTCATACCTGCACTAAACAACTCAAGTGGAATTCTGGGCTAGGTGCAAGTTCCACAAGGGCTACGTATTGGGGATAAAAATCAGAAAAATGTGCTCTCAAGTGGAATCCATTAAGAATCCCCCCCCCCCGGATGATTTGTAAGCTCAAGTGCCCACTATGAAAGGTGGCTTGTCAATGGGCTGTTTTAGATGAGGGTTAACTCTCAGTTACTGACTCAGAGGTCAGTGTCCTCCACATCATCAAGAGAGGAAGGGTGTATCCTGAAATTGCAAGCAGGTTTATGTAAAAAAAAAAAGTTGTGATTTAGTTGTTCATAGTATGTCTGAGAAAGAGTGGGGATCTTCATGAAGTCTACCAAAAAGGAGACCTAAAATTTTGTGCCAGGTAACAAGTGCTCTGGTCTAAAGCAAGTATCCAGTCTAAATGGCAAATATGACCCTGTTGCTGTGCACTGGTGTCTGACCCTTCATGACCCCATTTGGGATTTTCTTGGCAGAGATACTGGAGTGGTTTGCCATTTCCTTCTCCAATTCATTTTACAGATGAGGAAACCGAGGCAAATAGGGTTCAGTGACTAGCCCAGGGTCACACAACCAGTAAGTGTCTGAGGCCAGATTTGAACTCAGGACAATGAGTCTTCCTGACTCCAGGCCTGGCAATCTATCTACTGTACCAAATAGCTGCCCACAAATATGACCTTATCAGATTGCAAACAGATGCATCAGGTTATTTTCCATGACTTGATTAATAACAGCAACTAGCATTCATACAACCTTTTTACATGCCCAAAGCTAGCACATGGGTTCTTTGATTGTCACAACTGGTGAGGCAGATGCTATTGTTATCTCCATTTTACAGATGAAGAGACTAAGGCTGAGATTAATTAAGCTCACCAGGCAACCTTCTCTAATGTTTACTTGGTTTTCCAAGTATTTCCACTGGTGCTATGCACACAGCAGGTACTGATAAATACCCAGAACTGTCGCTCAGCAGAACAATGACCTGTCACTGGATAGAAATAATCTTAAAGGAAATGAGTGCAAATTTGTTCCTCAGATTCTGATCATATGCTGCAGCTACATTCCTGAGCTTGTAAATAACGAATGCCAAGAAAAAAACAAACAAACCAATAACGTTTTTTAAAAATCCCAAAGGGTCACAAAGAACAATTTTGTTACAGCCTTGTTAAGTTTTTAAAACACAAAATGTACATAATTCATCGTTTCATACACAATGCCCTCTTGTTTTCTGGCTATTGGGATGTTTGTGGATGACTGCTAAGTTTATAATAAAAAAAATTTAGAAAATAAACTCAGTGGCAAGACTTCAGACCTAAAGGAACATCCCTGAGGTACGGACAGCACCAGCACAAAGCTGGCCCTGAGCCGCTACTTCTTTGGAGAAACAAATCCCACAAACTTGGCCGCGCACTGCTGCTGACACGCCAGGCCTCTAGCCCCTGGCCCACCAAGTCCCCTAAATCATACTTTCCTTCAAAGGTCAAGGACATATTTTGGAAGAAAAAACCAACAAGCTCCCCCTTTGACCACATGAGTCAGAGTTTAGGCTGTGGAAAGAATGGGAATCAGTCCTATTTTAGACTTTACCAACTCACTTCCTTGCCTTAGCAAATCAGAAGAATTCATGTTGTCATGCTGGCACTGAGAATAAGAGTGGGGGGCAGGGAGAAACAAATATCCCACTTGAGTTAGATGGTATCTGAAGTAGAGGAAAGTTCAAGGGCAGGCATTGGCTACCTCTTTTTTAGGTGTCAGGGACAGTTTGCCCCAGTTAACCTCCTTTGGTTTGCTATGACAATCAGGGAAAAAACCGGCATCATTTATAGGAAATAAAGACAGCATCAAATGATAAATTTAGCACTCTATAAAATTCAAGGATATTCTCCCTGTTGATTTTTGGAAAGGCATCTTTAGTGGAAAGCTGGCCTTGCAGTTTGGAAGAAACTGACCTCTCACATTCACTGGCTGTGGGGTCTTGGGCAATAACCTTTTTGCGTCCAGACGATGGCTAAGATTATATATTGCAATGCATTGGTAGACAGAATGTCCTTTCTATACTGATGACATCACCAATATGGTGCAGAAGAATTTTTTCACTGAAAGATAAAGAACAAGTTGGACAAGTATAGACTTGCTTGACCAGTAAGAAAATTAGCTTAAGAGGGATTACCCAGAAACAAACCATGTTGCAATACCAAAATGATTAATTATGGAGGTTGAGGTTACAATTTGACTGTAAATGATCTGAAATACAATTTAATTTTAACCTAATTTAAATTCAGAACACAATTTTGACTTCCTCTCTTTCTTTTATGTCTGAAAATTAAGGTAAACTGGGAGGCAATGGTCCAAGCATGATCAATTTATTAGTCACACCAAGTGTATCTTCCTTCAGATTGACCTGACAGTACATCATTTGGACCTCTGCTGGCAAAGGTAAGACAATCCCAACTGGTAGATATTTTAATGGAGAGGTGGGTTGAGTGACCTCAGCTCCTCCCATAATTTCCTAGTTGGGAGATGGGAGTAATCCTCAGGTGACAGTCACTAGTATATAGACTTGGGTGAAGTCTGCAACAGCTCTGACTGATGCAACTTGAATTGGAGTCAAGTGGCAGTGGGCAAAGTTACAAAGGTACAGATTCAATTCACAATAGAATTGAGTGTTGAAAAGCTGGACCTTTGGGCAAGTTTCTCTGGAATGTAGGTGAAGGGTGAAATGACTAAGGTAAGGAGTTTAGACTTATGGAATATCTTTAAAAAGAAACTTTTATCAATCAATTGACAAACATTTATTAAGAACCTAACTGTGCTCTGCACACAAACAGATTTTATCCATACGTCACAACCCTCATGTAAAAAGTAAAAGACCTTCCCACAAGGGGCAGACATTAGAAATGAGAAGGCATCTGAAAACGTCTCCAGCGGGTGGATCAGAGAGCTCTTTCACAAAAAGGGAAGTTTTCTTTATTGTGTGTCCAAATAACATTTTAATTACTCAGAGATTAACTTCCTTTTAGTGACTGTGGTAGTCAGTGGTTCTGCTTGTTTCACTCTGCATCAGCTCACAAAAAATCTTCTACTCCCCTATATTCCTCATTTTTCATTTGTTTTTACCCAATAATAAGCACTCTGTTCACATATATTCTCCAGGCATTCCCCTACTGATGGACTCCTACTTGGTTTCTAATTTTGGCTACCACAGATTGCTGCTATAGGTATTTTTATGTCTCGTAATTTAGTAATTTTCTTGCCTGATTCCAAACTGAAGTCCAGGCTGGTTAGACCATTTCCCTTCTCTTATTAGTGTGCTCCTCCAACACTGACTTTTGTTTTTGACTTGGATTATGGTGAAGTCTGCATGTTGTTTTAATTTGCATTAGTGATTTGATTCAGTCTTTTAATGACGATATTATGCTAAACCTATTTGTGCAGGTGTTACTTTGCTTCTAAGCAACTCTAACTGAAAATCCAGACTTACACAAAAAATAGGATTCACCCTAGGGGCCTGCAAACTCAAATTCACCAAGACATCTGAAATGCTTCAACTTAAAAGACTTTCCAGAAACACCTATATGGCATAGAGCAAAGCTTACCAGTTTAGCATCTTAATTTTAAGGCACCATAGTTCCTTCCACCTCGAGTTACTTTTCTAACAGCAGGTTGGCGGCAGCCTGACTCCTAACCTAACTCCCTCCTACTAGATCTGTGCCCTCTGCTAGTCATCTGCAATTCTGTTAGGCACTTTAAAGGCAGCTTCCAGCTGTTAATGGAACTTACAAAGAGCAGTGGAATTCTCTTGCTGTTAATTACTCATACCATGCTGGTTCTGATCTTAGACTAGGGTGAAGGGAAAAAGTCCTGCTGATTTATGCTCAGCTCCACAAGTGGCTTGGGGATCCCAGGCAGACCAAGTCACCGCAGAGAGAATGGTTCCGGCCCTCTCCCCACCTCACTCACTAACCTATTGTAAAGGGCTCCTAGGAAGATGGTTTGATTTCCTGCTCTTGTGCCTTTCTCAGTAATGAGAGCACATCTTCCCCACCTCTCTCAGCCAGTCCTCACCGTGGCCCAAGCAGCACCAGGTCACAGTAGCTCCCTGCTTTACAAACTCTGGGGGCTCCCTAGTCACAGGGGTTACAGTAGTTCCATCTATTTGGCATCTGAAGCTCTTCGAAGCCTGGCCCTTTCCTGCCCCCAGTGTTCTTCTGCACCATTCCCCTCTCCATACTCGGTACTGCCAGGGGCTCAGCACCTCTACCTCCCAGGACAAGCTGGCCCCCCACACCTCTCCAGCCTTACTCCCCAATGACACCCTTTGTCCAGTCCAGCCAGCCAGACATCCCATCTGCTAGGCAGAGGGTAGCACCCCATGCCTACCTGGCATGCACTGTCCTCACCTTGACCATTAAGAATCCCATTTCCTTTAAAATGCAGTCACAAAAAGCGTTGCTGATCCAGCCCTGCCTGCCTACTAGTGCCTTCCCTCCCATAACCACCTTGTATTCATTTTGTATATATTATATAAACGTTGTCTCCCCCGTTAGAAGGTAAGATCCTTGAGGACAAGGATGGTTTCACTTTTGTCTCTTTTGTCTCTGGCATGTAGCATACAGCATGGCATTATGGAAAGCACTTTTGGGGGCTTGAACCCCAGACTTTGGGGTAGCTTAAGTGTACAGTGGATACAGTGCTGGGCTTAGAGTCAGGAAGACTCATCTCCCTGAGTTCAAATTTGGCCTCAGACACTTACTAGCTGGATGACCCTGGACAAGTCACTTCACCCTGCCTACCTCAGTTTCCTCATCTGTAAAATAAGCTGGAGAAGAAAATAGCTAACCACTCCAGTATCTCTGCCAAGAAAACCCCAAATAGGGTCACAATGAGTCGGACACGACTGAAAAATGACTCAGTAAGAACAAACATGAAGGAAGACAGTCTGATGGGCTGAGAAGAACATGGTATTAACTGAATTCTGGAATTGAAAGTCCTCTTGAGATCCTAATGCAAGAGTTCTTAACATGGGATCCTGAAGGGTCTGTGAACTAGCACGGGGAGAAAAAATGACATCTTCAGTGTTATTATCCTCTAACTGAAATGTGGCACTTCCTTTAACTATTTAAACATATTCTGAGTGAAGGTCCACAGGCTTCCTCAGAGTGGCAAGACCAGGAGAGGGGTACTGTAGTAAGAACACTAGCTTTGAAATCAGAGCATCTGGGTTCAAATCCTGTCTCTGATGCTTAGTACCTCTGTGACCTGAAAATCACTTCCCTTCTCAGCCTCAGTGTCCTCAGCTGTAAAAAGACCTCTGCAGTAGGCAGGTCCCTTCCAATTCTATCGCTGATCCCAAGTGTTGCCCAGGGGGAGAGGTTCAGACTACGGGTCCTATAGTGTAGGTGTTTTCCCCGGGCACCACCCCAAGTGAGTGTCCTTTCTAGCCACAGACACTCTCCAGTCTAATAACTATGGTGCGCCAAGAGCTCGAGAGCTCACCTACAGAGGGCCAGGAACCACGGGGCCCGTCCTAGGAGGACTTATTCTAACAGAAAACCTTAAGTGGAAGAAGCCAAACTGAGGTTTGGTGCAGATACGGACCAGAGGAGACAGGGGTGAGGGCTGAAGAGGGCGGGGGCAGGGCCACAGCGCTCTCGTGATCAAGGTTTCCAGGTTCCTGCCCTAAAGCTGAAGCCAAAATCAAGGAAAGGGGGGTGGGGGGCGCCGTCCGAAGCCTGGGAACTGGCCCTTTGGGACCTCATTTCTGCACCCTTAGATAAGCTTTCCCAGCGCCTAATAAACGGGCGGTCACGTGAGGAGGCCGGGACGCTGATACCCTGGGGGAGACGGGGGAGGGTGGTCAGTCTTCCACGTGACAGCCTGGACGGGTGGACAAAGTCCAGTTACCTCGGACTCAATGAGTGCCACCGAGGGACGGCTCAAAGAACACAAGAGTGGCCTTGGCCCCGCTGAGCCTTCGGGGGAAGAGGGGGTGTCCGAGTAAGGACGGGGCATGGGGGCGAGGGGGCCAAGGCTGCCTTTTGGGGGCCCTCGGGACGAAGGCTGGTCCGGGGGCTGCCCTGGGGCAAAGGTGTGGGCCGTGGGTGGCCCTGAGCTCTGAGGGCGCGGCCGGGGGGAGGCTAAGGGAAATGACCCGTAATGCTGCGGAGCGCTTTCCTCACAATCCCCTCGAGAAGTGGGAGACACCGACATCACGCACGTCCTGATATAATGGAGGGCGCTCACAGCTCGACCGCATCGGCCTCAGGATTCAAACCCAGCGCGCTCAGGGGCACCTCGCGGGCCGCGGCGCAGGGCGCAAGCGCAGACAGACGGCACGCGTGGCGCGCATGCGCCCGCCTCACCTCGGTCGGGAACAAGTTAGCCGACAGTAACGCCTGCATGTCGAAGAGCAGCGTGATGGGGATGTGCATCACGAAGTAGAGGCCCAGCAGGTACTCCAGCGCTCGCGCCCCGCCCCGCGAGCCCATCGTGCCTCAGACTCCGGCCGGGCCGCCAGAAGAGCTGCGAAAGAGGTTGGCTCGCCGGGACCGAACGGCGCACTAGTGAGCGAGCGCTGGGCGGACGCCGCCGGGACGCCTCGGCCCCGCCCCCGTCCCCCTCCCAGAGCGCCTCGCGCCAGTCACGCCGGTTACTCTGATTGGCTGGCGCGGCAATCGCCCGGGGGTGTGGCGAGGGGCGGCCGAAGTGGATTGGCCGAGAGGCGCGGGCTCTCGGGATAGGCAGAGGACGGTTGGACGGCGGGTGCGCGCGCATAGAGCACTGCGGGAGACGGCTCGAGTTTGCTGGGCTGTGCCGAGCCCTGTGGGCTGGAGGCTGCGGGCTGACGGGGCTCGGAGGCGGCCTTTGTTTTCTAGTGGGAGGCCCATCGCTTCCCTCCTTCGGTGTTAGGCACCCCCCCCACACTCCGCATTGCTTCCTGCTGCCTCCGGGTGGGACCCGAAGGGACCCCTCATTTACGGCTGAGGAAACTGAGTCCCGGAGCGGGGGGCGTGCCCTCCACGGCGGGGACCCTTTTCTGTGGGACTCTGGCGGTGTACGTTAAGCACGACCCGTGAGCTTGTGCTCGTTCTACCGAGAGACCGGAGAGCTGGCGTCGAGGATTTGGGTGGGGGCGGGGTGAGGCGGCTGGCCTTACTCGAGGTCACGGTGGCCCCGGCACGTGACTCTTGCCTCTGCCCCACCCCTCCCCCTCTTCCGGGCACGATTTGGGATGGTTGCCTAACTGGCCTTTGCGCCGCCTCTGGGCCCCCGGCGTACAGCCGAAAAGACTCGGGGGCGGGAGACTGTCTTGTGGGAAAGGATGTAGGAGTTTCCCATTCCCGTCCTTGGATCTTGGCTTTGGAGTTCGAAGGGACCTCATTTTACAAGTGGAGAAACTGAGGACCAGAGGGATTAGGTGACATATTCAGGGTCACACGGCTAGCAAGTCTGGGGGGGGTAGTTCAGAGTCGGGTCTTCCTTATTTTAGGCCCCGCAATCTTCCCTTCCTCATCCATTCGTCTGTCCTTGAAACGGACAGCCTGACCTGCTTGTCCATCCGTCTGGGCCATCCGATCAAGCTCGGTTCTTTCGTTCAAGGGTCAAACCAGTGCGTCCTCCCCTCGGGTGAAATGCGTCTTCCCCCTCAAACTTATCTTACCCTTTCTTTTACAGTAGAATCTAGGTTGATTTTTGTATACTGAATTGTCCCTTTCACATTGTAATCACCGTAAGGTCAGGGTCTTTGCCCTGAAGTGCTTTTCACGTAGCAGATGTTTAATAATAGTGAGTGGAACTGAATTTTGGCGGGGGCCCAGGGAACCTTGAGTTTCCTTTTGTGATCTCTCAGGGCTGCCCTTGATTTTCATGTTACTGGAATTTCACTCTTTAAAAAACACTGGCAGGTTCACCACAGGCTCTGCTATCCAGCGCCCCGTTGTCAATGTGGCTGTTTACCAAGCAGTATTTAAAATGATCCAAGTTGGTGAATTTCAACCATCTTTTTCCTCCAGGTCTGACAGCAGTTGCTTCTTGGAAGTCACTCTCTTCTAGCCTTCTCCACCCCTCTACATACTCACTTCCCCCATCTCCTTTCCCTAAGGGTTGGTTGATATTTTTTTAACTGGGTCCGAAACTTTTTCTTTGCAATTAGAGATAAAGCCTAGAATGGAAGTACTCCATGGGAGATGGAACACATTGACTTAAATTCACACTAAGATGTACACATACCGAGTTGGCATGAACCTCAGTGGTCAGAGTCCAACACATAACTCGATCATGATTACTTTCAACGTTCCTGATTAATGGTCCTTCTCCCATGGGACACTCACTACCTCTATTCATGGATTCCTTTTTTGGGTAACTGTAATTGTTAGAAGTTCTTCCTTACAATGACTTTATTTATTAGACACCTAGTTAGACTGCTGGGTGGCATAGTGGATAGAGTGCTAGAGATGGAGTTAGAAAGACTTGAGTTCAGATACGACTTCATACACTCACTAGCTCTGTAACTCTGGGCAAGTCACTGAACCACTACTTCCCTCAGTTTCCTCATCTGTAGAAAGAGAATAATAATAGCACTTACCTCCAAGGGTTATCGTGAAGATTGAATGAGTCAACGTTTATGGAGCAGCTAGGTCATACTGCTGTTACCAGACTGGTCCTGGAGTCAGGAAAACCCTCGTTCAAATTCAGTCTCAGAAACTAGCCATGTGATCCCGGGCAAGTCATTTAACCTCTTTTTGCCTCATTTTCTTCCACCGTAAAATGGGGATAGCACCTACTTCTCGGGGTTGTGGTGAGGATCAAATGAAGTAATATTTGTAAAACATGACACAGTGCCTGGAGTATAGTAGACAATAAATGCTTATTCCTTTCCCCTATTAATTTTTTTTCCTTTTTAAAAATTGGAACTTTACTTTTTTAATTAACCAAAATCTGCCTTTTCTCCCTCCTACCCTCATCAACTGCAAAAAAAGAAAAACAAAAACAAAGCCTTTGTAACAAATATGTAAAGTCAAAACAGCAAAATAAAATTACCACATTGGCCATGTCTCAGTCAATGATCTGAGCCCATCAGCTTCCTGTTAGCATGTTTCACCATGAGACCTCTGGAATCCCCTTATCCCATTTGAGCCTTACAACCCTCAGAGGTGAGTGCTGTTATGATCCACATTTTACAGATGAGGAAACTGAGACAGCGGTTAAAGTGACTTGCCTAAGATCATGTAGCTAGTAAATGTCTGAGGCTGGATTTGAACTCAGGTCTTACTGACTCCAGGCCTAGAGCTCTATCCACTGCACCCCTTAGCTGCTAGTAGATACCTTAGATTTCCCCCTCCTTTTTCACTCTTTTGACTTCATTTCAATATTTCTAATTGTGTCCTTGATCCATTGCATTGTTCTGAGTTAAGTCTTTCAAAGTTGTTTCTTTTTACAGCATTGTTGTTATAAAATCTTTCTCCTTCTGTTCATTCTGTATCAGTTCATTTATACAAGTCTTCCTAGGTATCTATGAAACCATTCCTTTCATTTTTTATAGTATAATCATATCCTGTCACATTCATGTACCATAACTTGTTCAGCCATTCCCCATCACATTACAGCACTACAAAAAGAGCTGCTGTGAATGTTTTTGTACATGAGTCCTCATTGTCTCATATTGAATTTAAATCTGCCTCAGCGTAACTGTCACCCATTGATCCTTGTTCTGGAGCCAAATAGATTAGTCTAGGCCTTCCTAATAAAAAAATCTTCAACTACTGGAAGACCAAAATCATGTTTCTCAAGTCTCCAGACTTATTTATCCTTAGTTTTTTCAAATATCATATAATAGTAACTGCCAGCCTTTATATAGCACCTACCATATGCTAGGTGCTTTTACAGATATCTTATTTAATCCTCACAACAACCGTGGAGACAGGGTAGGTGCTATGATTTCCATTTTACAGATGAGGAAACAGGCAAACAGGTTAAGTGACTTGCCCAGGGTCACATAGCTTGTGTCTTAAGGCCGAATTTGAACTTGGGTCTTTCTGACTCCAGACTCAGTGTAGTCTGGCAATTAGCTGGCCAGCAGTTCCTAAGCATTTGAGAAGATCTTGAGGTGAGAAAAATTGATTTCAGGTACTCATTGCACAGTAAAATATTTTGGCTGTGTCCTGTTTCTATGCCTTGCCTTAAGTGGACAGATGGTTCCCAAGTCTGGAATACATTCCTTTCTTAGATCAGCTTCTTAGGATCCCCCATTTCTTTCAGGGGATAGTTCAGGTGCTAGGCTTGATGCCAGGCACTGGGGATATACAGCCCCTGTCTGCAGGAGATTATGTTCAAAGTGTCAAGGGCTAGAATTAATCAAGCAATAAACATAATAATGATGTATACAGATATATAACTAAAGATAATTTGGTGGGAGGGGTCAGCTACAGGGATCCAGTAACTAAACACTCCAGGAACAACTGGAGAGTTCAGGAAAGGTTTCTTCCAGGAGGTGGTGCTTTGGAAGTTCCAAGAGGAAGTGGCAATGAGAGAATGCAGTCATGTATTTCCAGACTGGGGCAGCAAGAGCAATAGGTTGGAAATTGGGGTTCAGAGCAGTTAAAGGACTTGCCAAAGCCCACACAACAAATGATGTGTCAAAGCCGGGATGGGATCATGGATTTAAAGCTGGAAGGGACCTGAGAGAGCTTTTAGTCCAACCCTTTCATTTTACATGAAGAAACTGAGGACCGGAGAGGTTCAGTCCCTTGAAGTTGGAATCAGTAACTGCAGTTACCATTGGCTGTACTCCTCTTAGAGACGGGGTGCTCTAGCAGCAAGCACTGAGTGTCTAGATAATCCAAGTCTCCAATGATTCTGTCATGCCTTTTTGTGCTAGGCTTGACAGCTGTTTCCCAAACATCTCTTTACTCCTTCTGTTCAGGTGGTCTGTGGTTTACTGTCATGACAAAATTGCATCTCTTATGGCCTTTGTTCACCTTCATCCAAGTGCTCTCCATTATGTACCCTGCCTCTGGTCTTTAATTTCCTCATGTGAAAAGCATATATTTTCATAATGTAGTATTACTCCATGCCACCACTCTTTACCAATACATTTTCTTTTGAATAAAGTATACTTGTCCAGAGTCACATTTCTTTATTTTAACAGAAGAGGAATTGGAGACCCCGAAGTGTGTTTCCCAAGCCATCAGGGTCAGAGAGTTCACAGACCTGGAATCCAGGTGTCCTGATGCCTCCTTGAGTCTTATTTTCATTGTACTTATTCCAGTGATATAGAAGGAAGAAGAAAGTTACACAGTATTAGAGCTCAGGGAATTTAAAGATAATATTTTTGCCCCCTCTACCCCTTAGTTTGCAGATGGTGAAACACCCTAAAGGGTCCTTGATTTGCCCAAGGTTATATAGGAGTGAAGGGCAGATGTGAGTCTAGAAGTGAATTCAGTGCTCTTGCGAGGTTTAAAAACAGTTAATCAACAAAGAAATGTAAGGATATCACATTTCAAGGTGTTTTGTTACTAGTGGAAAATTTTAAATGACTGATAAGATTGGGAAAGGTACTGCTGCTATGGAGTCAGCAGGTGGTTTCACACCTCTGAACCAGAACATTATTCAATCATTAACAA